GATGAAGGCACTGTAAACAAGACACTACTTTGCATTAATACCTGTTAGTCACTCATCAAATACTTTCCCAGAACCTACTCTATGTGAGGTGCTCTCTAGAGACACAACAGTAAGTTGAACAGACAAAAATATTTTTAAATATATCTTTATTGATTTCAAAGAGGAAGGAAGAGGGAGCAAGAGATAGAAACATCAATGTTGAGAATCATTGATTGGCTGCCTCCTGCATGGCCCTTACTGGGGATGGAGCCTGGACGTAGGCATGTTCCCACCCAAGAAGCAAACCGTGACCTCCTGGTTCATAGGTCAACACTCAACCACTGAGCCACACCAGCCAGATGACAAAAATATTTTGTAATGTGCTGTAATGTACACAGGATGCCATGGAAGGCCAGCTAAAGAAGATTTAAATAGGCTAATAGACCTGCGGCCAGGGAAAGCTTTTCGGAGGTGATACTTTCACAGAGTTTGGGAAGACAAAGAGAAAAGATACTAAAAAAGGTGTTCTCGGCACAATGAGGGAGGTGTGAAGCTGCAGCTGACATTTGGGAAAGTACAGATTATTGTAACCCCTGCTTTATCTGAACATTGCAGCACGGTCATTGAAAGGTTTTAAACAAATGCCATGATTGAATTTGCATTTTCGAGTGCTCACTCTGACTGCAATACAGATAATGGGCTGTGGAGAAAGCAGAGAGAACAATTAAGAAGCTGTTGTCATAATCCTGATTGCATAAGATAAGGTTAACACAAAACATGCTACAGGCCTTTGCAACTGATTAGGATAATGAGAGGGACCTAGAAGACTTCCAGGTTCCTGGCTAGAAAGACTATTATTTGGGTCCTTTAATGCTGATGAAAAGTACATCAGCCAAACACGGGAAACTTTTACAGTGCAATCATGAAATCTAAGATTAGGTTACCTTCCCAGCCAAATGGACTCAACATTGACCTCCAAATTAAAGAAGGTGAGCCCTAACTGGTTTGGCTTGGTGGATAGAGCATCGGCCTGCGGACTGAAAGGTCCCAGGTTCGATTCCGGTCAAGGGCATGTACCTTGGTTGTGGGCACATCCCCAGTACAGGTTATGCAGGAAGCAGCCAATCAATGACTCTCTCTCATCACTGATGTTTCTATCTCTCTCTCCCTTCCTCTCTGAAATCAATAAAATTTATATAAAAAAATAAGATAAGTTTAAAAAAAAGTTGAAAAATAAGATTACATTATGAAAGCTGGAATTCTGATTAAATCTTGTACTTTACAAAGGATTAATTAGGAGGCACTAATATAACTAAACTATAAAACCCCTCAGACCATGTAATTGAGTTGATTAAATCAGAATATTAAATATTTTTCTAACATAATGCTTGAGAAAACAGCTCGAAACTGTGATAAAAATACTAAAAAGACAGGGGGGAAAAACCTATGATCAATGCTTATTGCAATTTTATTGTTTTAAATACAAATTTGTATCTTCTCCCATATGATGATATTTAAAAGATAACTTGTCACATATACATAATTATTCCCTAATTAAGGGTAATCATCTCTTATGGATTCTTGCAATAACTTACAAATTGGCTTCTTGCTACCTGTCTCAGTCTCCTCCACTTCACCCTGGTCTGTTCCGCTTCAAAAACAGTGAACACAGACTGATCAAACTAAACACAAATATGACATTGTCTTTCTCTTATTTAACATATTTTGAATGGTGACTATAACTAAAGGATAAAGTCCAAACTCCTCAGGACACCAGTTAGGACTTAATGATTTGAACCTATCACTTCCTACACAAGACAGCATCTTACCACTCCCTCTAGTCTTACCAAGTTTCTTTCTTTTTAAAAAAAAATATATTTTATTGATTTTTTACAGAGAGGAAGGGAGAGGGATAGTTAGAAACATCGATGAGAGAGAAACATCAATCAGCTGCTCCTGCACACCCCCTCCTGGGGATGTGCCTGCAACCAAGGTACTTGCCCTTGACCAGAATTGAACCTGGGACCCTTTAGTCAGAAAGCCAACACTCTGTCCACTGAGCCAAACCAGTTAGTAGGGCCTTACCAAGTTTCTTATGTCTCAACCTGGAAATCCTTCCCTGTGGCTCTACTTTGGAAAACTGGCACTAAGCTTCTAGACAAGGTCCATGCATTGTGTCCTCTGTTATGTATTCCCATTCCCACCTGCCCTGGAAAAATCTCAAGTTGCACCCTGTCTCTGCCTCTAGAGCACCATGTTCATTCAAGCATTAGCTTTTTTTTTTTTTTTTTTTTTTAATATACATTTTTATTGATTTTTTTTACAGAGAGGAAGGAGGAGGAATAGAGAGTAGAAACATAGATGAGAAACATCAATCAGCTGCCTCCTGCCCGCCCCCTACTGGGGATCCAGCCTGCAGCCAAGGTACATGTCCTCCACCGGAATCAAACCTGGGACCCTTCAGTCGACGACCCAGCTGTCTATCCACTGAGCCAAAATAGTCAGGGCTAAGCATTAGCTTTTGTCAATAGTTTTAAAAGTTTGTTTACTTGTCTATAAATGTGACCATAAGCTCCTGAGGCTAGTAATTTTGTTTTATATTTGTGCTCCCAGCCCACAGAGCATCTCTTGAATCAAGAACAAATCAAGACCATTACCTAGGCAGTTAATTGGTCCCTTCCCATCCTCCTTTAATACTTTTTATATATTCCCAGTACAGTACTTATTACTTTACATGTATATCTTTCCAATATAGTCTGTGAAAGAGATCATTCTTCCCTTTTGTTTTGTTTTTAGATCTAGCATATAACAAGCCCTTAAGAAGCACTAATTAAAATAATGAAAATCTTGCTGAAGCTGGTTTGGCTCAGTGGTAGAGCGTCAGTCTGCAGACAGAAAGGTCCCAGGTTCGATTCCGGTCAAGGGCATGTACATTGGTTGTGGGCACATCCCCGGTAGGGGGTGTGCAAGAGGCAGCTGGTTAATGTTTCTCTCTCATCGACGTTTCTAGCTCTCTATCTCTCTCCCTTCCTCTCTGTAAAAAATCAATAAAATATATTTAAAAAATAAAATAAAATAAAATAATGAAAATCTTGAAAGCATGCCTCTCAAACTTGTAGATGGCACTATATTTAATATGTTTACTGCAAGACACTTGATTTAAAAAAGACCAAGATCGATCTATCTATCTATCTATATATATATATATATATATATATATATATATATATATATATATATGTTTTATTGATTTTTTACAGAGAGGAAGAGAGAGGGATGGAGTTAGAAACATCGATGAGAGAGAATCATCCATCAGCTGCCTCCTGCACGCCCCCCACTGGGGATGTGTCGCAACCAAGGTACATGCTCTTGACCGGAATCAAACCTGGAACCCTTCAGTCCCCAAGCTGACGCTCTATCCACTGAGCCAAACCGGTTTTGGCAAGATCTATCTTTCTTTCTCTCTCTTTTCTTTTTTTCTTTCCTCCCTCCCTTCCTCCCTCCATTCCTCCCTCCCTTCTTTCTTTCCTCACCTGATGATATGTTTACTGATTTTAGAAAGAGAAGAAAGGGAGAGAGAAACATCAATGTAAGAAAGAAACTTCAATTCATATTGTCCACATCTATGCATTGTATTACTTTAACTCTTACTATGTTAAGACCTTGGCCTTGTAGGGAGGTGCAAGCATCCACAGCACATAAGACGTGCTTAGTGAAAACATGTCATTCCTCTTCCCAATAACTTAAAGACAAGGCAGCACCCCATTCCAATAACTCGTTTCCATAGCAATTTCAGCAGGAAACAATAGAGCTGTCAAACCATAAAGTTGTAAACAACCTACGGTGTGGTGTGCGCATAGTGACCTACATAGAACAGTTACAGGAACGCTTGTTTCTCCACAGCTTCAAATGGTTTATTCCCTAATTGCCCTCCCAACCCCACCCCCGCTCATGCCCTCACCCCCCTGGTGACTGTGTCCATTGATTATGTTTATATGCATGCATACAAATCGTTTGGTTGATCTCTCCCCTTTATCCCCACCGATAACTTTTTCTTTTCTTTCCCTCCCTCCCTCCCTCCCTCCCTCCCTCCCTCCCTTCCTCCCTTCTTCCTCCCTCCCTCCCTCCCTCCCTCCCTCCCTCCCTCCCTCCCTCCCTTCCTTTCTTCCTTCCTTCCTTCCTTCCTTCCTTCCTTTTGTGTGTCGGAGGTTGTCCCTTTGAATGTTATCAGTGATGTTTCCAGATGTGTTTGTTTTTTAAATAATACACTTTACTACTTTTGTAGTAAAAGGAAAACCTTCAGCGGAATGACTATCAATTAAAAAGTTGCCTATACGTATTAGTCTCTAAAAAGTCTAAAGTATCAGTAGTCCGGGCTTTGAACTCCATACAGTTTTAGGGTCCAATTCTGGCTTCCCTGTTGGGACACCGGGAATGTCACTGAATCTCTGAGTTTCGGTTTGCACAGGTAAGAAAAACATCTATTCTCTGTATTTCTTGAGCAGCATAAGTTATAGGCAAACCAGCGGACACAGCAACATTTGCTCATGACAGCCCGAATCAAAGTTTTTGAGCTCTTGCCTTCCTCTCTTTCCGCTTTTTTCAGCTTCGAAGCCACCTAGCCGTAGACTTGCTAAGAGACCCTCCAGCCCCAGCGCCCCTAGGGGGCGTGTCCGGCGGGAAGGACCCGGGGAGGGTCCGCCCATCCGGGGCGGCCGGCGCGCCTGATCGCCTCGATTCACCTCTTCTCCGCGCCCCCAGCACCCAGACCAGCGGCGGAAGGCGCATTTATTCCTCCTTCGTCCAACGGCCCGGGCCGCCTGCGAGGGGTGGGTCCGACGCGGAGGAGGCACAGCCTCGGGCAGCCCGGGTCCGGCACGGCCTGGGACAGCCTGGGTCCGACGCGCCGCGGCCACGCGAGGACCCCGCCCGCTGGCCGCCGCCCCGGCCCCGCCCCCTTGGAGCCGAGGAGCCGAGGCCCGCGGCTCCGCGTCCGCCCTCCCGCCGTCCTCTCCGCAGCCATGCCGCTGTACGAGGGCCTGGGCAGCGGCGGGGAGAAGACGGCGGTCGTGATAGATCTGGGCGAAGCCTTTACCAAGTGAGTGGCCGCGGCGCCGGCTGCGGTCGCCTGGGGAGAAGGGCGTGGGGGGGGGCCGACACCCAGGCCCGGTCCGGGTTCGGGCCCTCATTGCGGGCTCAGGTCCCCACCCCCCGCCAACAATGGCCACTATCATTCGGCCGCGGGCGATGCCAATACCGAGGATCCGGGGGGCGGCCGGGTTCGGAGGCCCAGGGAGGCCCGGGAGGCTTCGGGAGAACTGCCTTCGCCGACGCGCCGGGGAGGCGGGTGGTTACTGCAAACCCAGCAGACCCTTTGGGGTTCCCCTGCAGGGGGTGACAGCGGTGAGCCAGACCCCCCTGCTCCCGCACGGCTCAGCTCAGGAAGCTAGCCTGATGACCACCATCTCCATCCTTAAACACTGATGGAGCGTCTGTGGGCGCTGGAGATCCAAGCATGTCCAAGCCGGGGCCATTGCTCCCCAAGAGGAGGGAGTCAGATTGGGAGACTGAACACATCCACGAGGTGAAACCCTGTAGATGGGAGTCTCGAGATTGCAAGCCCTCCCTCTACCCCCCTCCAAAAAACAACAACAACAACAAAAAACATCTCTTAGATTAGCAAACTTAACATGTTTTAAAAGGCAACTTGTAAACACTAGAGTAATATTTCTCAGCCTTTTTGATGGCATAGATCCCTTTGACAGCCGAATGAAAGCTACATAGACACAAACCTTAATGCACTTGGCCATAGTTTTAGGGATTGGTGGACATCACAGTGGTCCTTGGACTCCAGGTGGAGAGTTGCTTGTACTGGGCTCAAGACAGAGGAGAGTGACAGCCAGAATTGCATCTTGTATAATTTTAAATGGGAACGTAGGAAAATCTTCATGTACATAAAATCTTAACGCCTAACATGTAGTAGGTATTTGGTAACTTTATTGAATAAATGGTCAAAAGAGCCTATTTAAGAATTGAACCTCTCAGGTGCACCAGAATTGGATTCAACAGTCCTTGGATTAAACAGTCCATTCTCTTCTTACTATTTGATGCACTATCTTCCCTTGTTTACATTTTTAAATTTACTTTTAACTTTATTTCTATCTAGCATAATAAATACCTTGGGGCTGACACCCAAATATAAATATGTTAAGGAAAATGAGAAGCAGAAAGCTGCACTACAGGAAGATGACTGTTGACAAAGTGATAAGATGAATCTGTAAAGTAAAAGAAAAATTGAAGCTGGCTGATGAGTTGCATCCTGGGAAATCTGAGGAGCACAAATGAGTAAACATGGAGGTGTGCTTAGTAGAAGATGGAAAGATGGAGGTGTGATTAGTAGATAAATAGGAGGAGAGCAGTACTGCAAACTAGACAGGACAAGAAGAGATAATCTTCACATTAAACTTAAATGGTGATCATTTTTTAGCAACATTTTAAGCAAAGATGTGTTTCGCTAACATGAAACAGAAATGGAAATACATAAATACTCAAGAAAGGAGAATTGTTTTTTAAGAGGATAAAGTACTATGCACTATTTAAAATGATAGCAATGAGGATTAAATATAGGAAGAAGCTTATTATAAGAGTTTATGATATATGAATAGTGTGATTCTAACTATGTAAAATATTCATAGTTTAAAAATAGACCAAAAGAGGCCACATGGCTCAGAGGTTGGCCTATGAATCAGGAGATCATGGCAGCTCCATCTCCAGTGTGGGGAGTGTAGGAGGCAGCCGATCAATGATTCTCTCTCATCATTGATGTTTCTGTCTCTCTCTTCCTCTCTGAAATCAATAAAATATATATATATTTTAAAAATAAACCTAAAGAAAACATGACTGTGTAGAATCTAGTAATAGAATGATGCACTAATACTTAACTCATATGAATGAAATCACGTAATACAGTACAGATCCAGGGTTGCTAATTTGAAACAATTTTTCACTTTTAATGTGCAATTATAAATAGATGGAATTAGCTTTTTCTTGTGTTTTTGATTTATTTTTGTCCTTTTGAATGTATCTGTGATGTTTTTCAGATGTGTTTGTTTTTTAAATAAACACAAAAAAACTTGTCTCTGTGATAAATATATGGAAAGACTTATAAGTTAAGTGTTTCAATATTCTGTTTATTTTCAGATGTGGTTTTGCTGGAGAAACCAGTCCAAGATGCATAATTCCTAGTGTGATTAAAAAAGCTGGCATGCCTAAGGTATTTTCCTAAATAAATTAGAAATAAACACTGTAGATGCACTTATTGGATGAAAGGACCACAAGACCCTTAAAAGGGGAAAGAAAAAAATGAGAAGGTCAGATGGGGAGAGCATTCTTGATGACAGCTGGGAGGTGCTTTGAGGGGCCCATGAGGGTCTGGAATTGGAGTCTTAGGTTAATTCTAGAAATTCCGAAAATCAGGGTGGGATTTGGGGGTCGCTAGTGGGATAGCATACAGAACGAGCCACCCCAAGGTGTGCCTCGGTGATAGGCAGATTGTTTGGGCTAAAAGGCAACTTTAGTTGCAGGCTCAAGAGAAACTTCTGCCTCTCCTTTACCTAGAAGAACTAATGGGGCAATCAGCTATTCTCACAGATAACGTCTTTGACCAATCAATAGAGGAGGGCAAACTTCTGTTTACTAAACACCTGTCCTTAACTCCCTGCCATGACCCTTTGAAGACCCCAGGTGCATTGCCTCCTCCTTAGCTCAGGATGTGTTATATGCCTCCACCTCCTTTCTGCCTCCGAGCCTCCCCTCCCTGCAGGCTCCCTGACTCTCTTAGGCATGTGGGATTCCCATACATAGAGAGGTGGGCAAACATAGGTTCAAAACACAGTTTATTGTTTTGTTATTTATTAATTGTTGTATTATGTGCTTGTATCACAACTGTAAACCTACTCTTGTGCACCCTGTATGCATTGAATGTTTATTTTCTTTTGCTAATCTGTCTCATGTTTATTTGATTATTAAACCAGTCAGAGAACCTAAAAAAAAAAAAAGAAATAAACACTGTAATGTAAAATGTTTTAAATGTGACTTCAAATAAGATTGATTAGAATAGTGCTAACGATATACCTTATTACTGTATTCTAAGAAAAATTTAAAAAATCTTTAGTTTATGCATTCTGTAAAGTTCACCTGTTTAAAGTGTAAAATTCAGTGATTTTTTTATCAAGTTCTATAATCGTCACTACAGTCCAGTTTTAAAACTTCGTCATCCCAGTAAGATTTCTAAAGCCTGTTTAGAATTTATTCCCATTCCCACCGACAGCCAGCCACTCAGTCCTTTTGTCTCTAAAGATTTGCCTTTTCTGTACATTTTATATAGATGGAATTATATAATATCAAGAGAAAGTTTTTAACCTTAGTAAAATAATTTTCTGCACTTTATAATGAATCTTTATTCTTTTTTTAAAAATATATTTTATTGATTTTTTACAGAGAGGAAGGGAGAGAGATATAGAGTTAGAAACGTCGACAAGAAAGAAACATCGACCAGCTGCCTCTTGCACACCCCCTACCGGGGATGTACCCGCAACCAACGCACATGCCCCTGACCGGAATCGAACCCGGGACCCTTCAGTCCGCAGACCGACGCTCTACCACTGAGCCAAACCGGTTTCGGCAATCTTTATTCTTACTCTGTTCAAAATATAAGATGGATCTTCAGTTCTTTATTTGTAATTCCAAGATCCAAAGAACTGTGAAAAACAGTTTTTAAAAGATAGTTGTTGTTTTTTGCCAAAGCTAATTTGGCAAATTAAGAATTGTAGAACAGTAGGAAGAATAATTTTCTTAGCCATAAATTCACCTTTTAAAATCCAATATAGATATTTCTGCTATAACTTAATATTTATGTTCCTGAAAAACCTCACTTTGATCATAAACAGACTTATGGAAAAAAACAGTGTTGGGGTAAACCATATAAAACTCATGTAACTGTAATCAGAACACTAGCAAAAAACAGTATTTGGTCCCTCAGTTGGGCTTGCAACTGAATGTGGCTAGAGGCTGTCTTGGGGATATTAAAAATAAAAAGAAATGATGGATTGAAAATGTTCTGTGGGTACTGAGACAATGCAGATGAAACTGAGCTCCGAGCCAGCCAGTGGGGCTGTTGTTAAGGTGGGACCAAGAATAAATGCAGCCCAAAAAGAGTAATGAAAGGGCCCTCGCTGGTTAGATGCATCAGCCTGTGGACTGAAGAGTCCTAGGTTCTATTTTGCCCAAAGGCACATGCTGGATTTGCAGCTCAATCCCCAATAGGGGGCATGCAGGAAGCAGCCAGTCAGTGATTCTCTCTCATCAATGTTTCTACGGTATCTGTTCTCTCCCTTCCTCTCTGATACCAATTTAAAAAAAAAATAATAATGAAAGGGTCCACTCAGAAGAGGTCCCCTAATACATAGACTCATATAAACTTAAAACGTTGATCTGAAAGAGTACCTACCTGCGTGGCCCCCGAGTTAATGACTTGCCTTTTCTTTCTTTTCTTTTTTCTTTATTGACTAAGGTATTACATATGTGTTCTTATCCACTGATTGCCCCCCCACCCCACCCGGCTCATGCCCTCACCCCCCTGGTGTCTGTGTCCATTGATTATGCTTATATGCATGCATACAAGTCGTTTGGTTGATCTCTCCCCTTTACCCCACCCTCCCCTACCTACCCTCTCAGTTTGATGGTCTGATCAATGCTTCTCTGTCTCAATTTGTTTTTGTTCATCAGTTTATGTTCATTATATTCCACAAATGAGTGAGATCATGTGATATTTATCTTTCTCTGACTGGCTTATTTTGCTTAGCATAATGCTCTCCAGGTCCATCCATGCTTTTGCAAATGATAGGAGTTCCTTCCTTGTTATAGCAGCATAGTATTCCATTGTGTAAAGGTACACAGTTTTTTATTTTATTTATTTTATTTTTATTGTTTAAAGTATTACACATAGTACATATATCTCCTTTTTTCCCACCATTGACCTTCCCCCAGCCGCCCCTGTTGCATTCCCTCATCCCACCCCCCAGTGTCTTGTGTCCATTGGTGTAGATGTACCACGGTTTTTTAATCCACTCATCTGCTGATGGGCACTTAGGCTGTTTCCAAATCTTAGCTATTATAAATTGTGCTATGACTTGCTTTTTCTTGGTGAAGGTAATAATTCTGTTATCATATATTCAGTTCCTGTTGCTTAATATGAACTCATAACAAATTTCACATTAATACTGACAGTATTATTAACAATCAACTATAAGCATGTTTGCTTTTATAAAAGCACATGTAGCAGAAGAGACTAGCACATCAGCTGTATTTAGTATTGGGATGCATCATTAAGATCAACAACATATGAAATGTATGGATTCAGAAAATACATTAGTAAGATAATAAGCATGTTTTAATTTGAAATAATTTATTATAAATTAACAAGTTATTTTAATTTTTTATAGCCTATCAAAGTTGTTCAATATAATATCAATACAGAAGAATTATATTCCTACCTAAAGGAATTTATCCACATACTGTATTTCAGGTATGATACAATGCTATTTGTTTCTTCCCCCAGCTTTTATTATTAGACTTTCCTAATGCCAGTCATAGTGATATCAGTTGTATTATATCTGAAGGGGGGGAAAATTGACTCCATTGCCATTTTTGCTTGCTTATTTTCAACCTTTCCCAAATATATTTGAAACTAAAAAACAAGCATAAGGAAATGTTGAAAACAAATAAACTGTCTATTAATAAAAGGGGTTGGGAAATTAAATGATTGAATGTCCTTATAATGAAAAAGACTTCAAAAAAGAGTTTTGGGCCTCTATGTACTGATACAAAAATGTATCTTAGATATATTGGTAATTGAAAACACGTTGCAGAACAACTATGGAATGAATATTTCTGTTAAAATATATATGTACACTACATTATATTACATATTCACGAAAATATACAAAATGGTAAAAAAAAAATATACAAAATGGGTAATAGAAGTGTTTTAGGATATTTATATTTTCCAAGTTATAAACTTACATACTATTTGGAGTTTTGTGAGCATATATTTTTTTCTTTTGTAATCTAAAGAAAGAAAATGTCTTTTTAATGGCTCAAGTTATTCAAAGTAGGTTGTTTTTTGTCTTCTGAGATAAGTTAATAGATGTGAAGTTTCTCACACAGTGCATGAAATGCAGCAAGAGGTCAGGAAAGTTATTTTTCCTGGGTAATAAAATGAAGATATCTTTTTGTCATAAAGCATTTTAAACTAATTTAGTATAGTTTCTCTATTCTTAACAAATTGCATTATGTACCAAAATAAATACAAACTTCTATTTATTTTAAAAAAAATTTAATTAAAAGCCCAAAACTATTACTTTTTAGGCATCTGTTGGTGAATCCCAGAGATCGACGAGTCGTGGTTATTGAATCAGTTCTATGTCCTTCCCACTTCAGAGAGACACTCACTCGCGTTCTCTTCAAGTATTTTGAGGTATCTTTTTTATATGTTGTTTTTGGTAGGTACTTAAAGCTTAAACTAAAGGTCCTCATTTATTTCCTTCATTGTCTGTACTACACAGTGCATTTGAGGAACCAGATGACAGAGTATAAAGCAAAGCCTCCTGAAACTTTCTTTGTATAGTTATTTCATGCATAATTAGCATTTCATCCACTAATTAGATAAATGGAGATTTCTTATTGATTTATTGATGTTTCTGTTATTTATTTATTTTGTTGTTAATCTTCATCTGATATTTTTTTCCATTGGTTTTTAGTGAGATTGGGGTGGGGGTTAGGGGGCTCGAGAGAAATATCTATGTGAGAGAGACACATCAACCTTTGCACTCACTCTGCCTGAGCTGAAATCAAACCTGCAACCCAGGTATGTACCCTTGACAGGAATCAAACCCAAAACTCTTGGGTGCATGGGTTAAAGCTCTAACCATTGAACCATTTGGCCAAGGCTATTTATTTATTTTAATATAGCTTTTTCTGTTCCGGGAGTTTTTAATTTTTTTCCAGAATTTAAAGGTAAAGTGTATACTGTGGAGTTTATGATGTGTTTCTTCCAGGTCTTTCTCCATTCTTTTTTTTTTTTTTTTTTTTTTTTTAAGAAGTGACACTTTACAAGGGAAAAGATTTTTTTAAAAAAAATATGTTTTATTGATTTTGTACAGGGAGGAAGGGAGAGAGATAGAGAGTTAGAAACATCAATGAGAGAGAGTCATTGATCATTTGCCTCTTGCACACCCCCTACTGGGGATATGCCCGCAACCAAGGTACATGCCCTTGACCAGAATGGAACCCGGGACCTTTCAGTCCCCAAGCTGACGCTCTATCCATTGAGCCAAACCGGTTTCGGCTCTTTCTCCATTCTATTGTTCAGTTATACTGAGTACTCTAAAGTCTTCAATTCTTTTATTTTAGGCTTTCAATTCCTATTAAATGGAATGCTCAAGTAATGTTTCCTTTAAACTGGGTAGGCAGTGCCAGGAATGACTCTTACATGTTGATATTAGTGATATTTCTTACAACTTTCATTTCATAGGAGTTAAGTAATTTTAAAGACCAAATTAGGATTTCACATTATTAAGTTTCACATTCTAAGAAAAGATCATACAGATAATCTTCATTAATAAATTTAAAAAAAATTTCTACCTTAGGAATTTAGGGTTTTTCAGCAAGGGAAACTAAAAGATTGTATAAAATGTGTTTAACATAGAAATTCTGTGCATAGTCCTGTGCACTGAAAGATCACTGGTTCAATTGCTGATCAGGGCACATTCCTAGGATGCAGGTTCGAGTCTTACTCAGGCCCCATGTTGGAGGCAACCGATGTTTTTTTTTCTCTCTCTCCCTCTCCCTTCTGTCCTCTCTCAAAAACCCATGGAAGGAAGGAGAGGAAGGAAGCCCGGTGTGTGTGGCTCAGTTGGTTGGGTGCATCCCAGTCACTGAGAGGTCACTGGTTTGAATCCCCATCAGGGCACATGACTGGGTTTCAGGCTCCATCCTTAGTGGGAGGTGTGAGATCCATGTTTCTCTCTCATCAATGTTTCTATATCTCCATTCCTTTTTCTGAAATCAGTAAAAACATTTTTAAAAAGAAATTAGTCAAGTGTATTTTTTTCACACATTCTACTGAGCTCAAAATATATAAAAGATCATAATGTCTTTATGAGATAGGGCAATTAATATTTCTAAGTTATTATGTATTAAGACAGAGAAACAGATTACCTTCCTCTTATCCTTAGATTTAGAAGTTTTGGTTTTCAGTAGGGAGAACACAGACAAAACGAGAAATCATGTCAGCTCTTATCTGAATAAAATAGATGATTCTCTGTGTTTATACTTAGAGTTTTAGTTGTGCTTGTGATTCCTTATATCATATATATTGGTAACTAGAATACCTGCTATCTAAATTTAAATAAGGGGAATGTAGCCATTATTTTATTTGTCACTTGGTTATGATGGACTTTCATGTGTTTTGTTTTTGTTTTTTAAATATATTTTATTGATTTTTTTTTTTTTTTACAGAGAGGAAGGGAGAGGGATAGAGAGTTAGAAACATTGATGAGAGAGAATCATCAATAAGCTACCTCTTGCACACCTCCTACCGGGGATGTGCCCGCAACCAAGGTACATGCCTTTGACTGGAATCGAACCTGGGACCATTCAGTCCGCAGACCGACGCTCTATCCACTGAGCCAAACCGGTTTCGGCTGGACTTTCATGTTTTGATTGAATATTTATGTAATTCTTAGAGTGCCACCAGATCTGGCAAATTTTCACTGAAAAATGTTTCACAGAACTAAGGATTTTTGTAGTTCTTCCATTTAATTGTAACTGCTATGTTGTAATGGTTTTAAAATATAGTTCATAGTACAAACTTTGTGGATAAAGGCAATCAAGAATTCTTTTTCTGTGTTTTCGTTTTGATGATAAAAACATCTTTTTTTTAAATTTAGCATTTTCCTCCAAATTTATGTTTCTAGACCTCTTCTTTTATCTCTCTCAGTTTTCCCTCTAAGAGAAAAAACAAGAATTTTATTTTTCTTAAATATATTTTATTGATTTTTTTACAGAGAGGAAGGGAGAGGGAGAAAGAATTGGAAACATCGATGAGAGAGAAGCATCCATCATCTGCCTCCTGCACACCCCCTACAGGGGATGTGCCCACAGCCAAGTACATGCCCTTGACCGGAATCGAATCTGGGATCCTTCAGTCCACAGGCCAATGCTCTATCCACTGAGCCAAACCGGTTAGGGCAAGAATTTTTTTTTGTTATGCTTTTTTTTTTGGAATGAAACATCTTAGAGAACTTAAAGAATGTTTTTATTTATTACACTGTATTTTGATTATGTGTAAATTCAAATATATCAACAAAGCCGTTCTTAATTTATTGCCACAAAATTGTTGACTAGATATCATAATATAAATAAGTATAATGTCCCCTTGAGGTTTTTGGGTTTTTTTTAATATATTTGAAATGTAAAGCAAACACTTTCAACTACTGACACTCACTCTGCTTTTGTTGTTTCTAGGTCCCGTCTGTCTTGCTTGCTCCAAGCCATCTAATGGCTCTTCTGACACTTGGGATAAACTCTGCTATGGTCCTGGATTGTGGCTATCGGGAAAGCCTGGTGTTACCTGTATCTTTTTGTGTCAGCAAGCTGACTTTGCAAATTTTACTCTTCTTTAAAACAATTGGACTAATTAAAAATGGTTTTTATTACATCAAGCTATTTTGGGTTATCATGTATAGACATAAATTATCATGTGGGAAAATTCACAAGATTGTGAGACTTAAATTTACTTTTTGTAGAAATTATTTTTCTGACTAGGTCCCAGTATATACTCCAGGGATTAGACATCATAAATATTATGTTCACTTCTTAGGAGGAACATCAGCTAATTGGACATATTAGAAAAGTTAATTAGGATGGTCAAGTTTTTTTTTGTTTTTGTGTTTTTTTTAATGTATGTTTTCATTTTATTTCACTTTTAAATTTATCCATATATATTTTTTTAAATATATTTTATTGATTTTGAACAGAGAGGAAGGAGAGAGATAGAGAGTTAGAAACATTGATGAGAGTCATCGATCAGCTGCCTCTTGTACATCCCCTACTGGGGATGTGCCTGCAATCAAGGTACATGCCCTTGACCGGAATCGAACCCAGAACCTTTCAGTCCCCAAGCCGACGCTCTATCCATTGAGCCAAACCAGTTTTGGCTAGGATAGTCAAGTTTTAAGAAAACATCATACAGAGAGTAATTGGAGAAACTTGAAATGCAAAAGTTAAATCAAGAAAAATGAAAATATAATGGTGACATGAAATCTGCCCGCAAATAGCTGTAGGACTCACTGTGGAATATTGAATACCATTTTCTCTCTTATCTCCAGAGACTGTCATGGCAGCAGTATGGCATAGGTTTTATGGGCTTGGGTTTTGGAATCAAATATGTGTAAATCTCAGCTATGCTTCTTTCTGGTTGTATGATACTGCTCAAGTACTTTAATCTCTTTGGGCCTCAGTTTCCTTTTCCATAAAATGGGAATTAATAAGTCCAGTTGATAGAGACGTTGTGTGATTTGAGGAAGGTAATATATGTAAAGTATTTGCTCAATAAATGCCATAGTTTTACGTCATTCACACATCAGGAAACAGTCTAGTAATTTCAAGCTGTCTCAGAATGGACCTCCTGACTATAAACTGGTAAATTCCTTTTCATTAGAAGCATTTAAGCAGAGTATATGTATCTCAGAAATATTACAGTGAATATTGTTAAATTGAAAAGGAGGTTGAAGTACGTTTATTTATTAGGAGAAATACTTAGGGAAAGGGAATTAAGAATCATTGACTCCTAAGGAACTAAATTAGGCAATAGCTTTTTAAATATAGAATATTTTATGCGTTAAGTCTCGTAACAGCACTGTAACTTAAATAATATGTAAATGAGAAGATTAGAAGTTTAGATAGGTTGTTAACTCAGGGTCATACAAAACATACAGCCAAGATGTATACCCATGTTTGAAGCCAAAGCTAATGCTTTTACCAATATACTTTTTCCTTTTTATAAATATACTGACAGAACATTAGCAAAAATAGTATATAAAATAAGGTAGCAAACCCACAGTACAGTATTGTGCACTATTCTCCCAGCACTGTTTAATAGAAATATAATGTGAGACATAATTTAAAATTTTTCTAAGCTGCATTTATAAAGTACAAATGAAAGAGATTAATCAATATAAAAATAATGAGATATTTTACTCGGGGCTTTTTTTGTATTAAATCTAAATTTGATTATTTGGTGTGTAGTTTATTCTTACATCTGAATTTATCTCCTAAAATAGTAATATCCTTAACCACCTTATAGATATATGAAGGAATTCCAGTACTAAATTGCTGGGGAGCACTCCCCCTAGGAGGAAAAGCTCTGCACAGGTAAGTTTCTTGGAATCTAGAACATTTTCTTTACCTGAGTCACAAAAACAGATGCTAATTTTTTTTTACAGTGTTCAATAGAGAACTTATAACATGCACATTTAATGTTGCTAATTTCATTCTCTGTTAGTCTTTAGTATATTTATCTTTTAAAAATAAAACCGCTTTACTTAAAGCATCATAATACATTATATAGTAAACATCCTATATAATAAAAGCCTAATACATTAAGTGTTTGGTCATCCAGTCAGCCGTCCAACTTATCAAAGTGTAATATGCTAATGATATGCTAAAGCCACTCAACCGCTCATTGTACGTGCACTAACCACCAAAGGGGAGACACTCCGATCTGTAGGTTAGCTTGCTGCTGGGATCCGGCAGATCAGGACTGAGCTAGACAGACCAGACATGCCCTGGCGCCCTCCCACAGTCCCCAGCTGGCCAACCTCCCTGTCCCGATTATGCACTGGTGGGGTCCCTCAGCCTGGCCTGCGCCCTCTCACAATCCAGGACCCTCAGGGGATGTTGGAGAGCCAGTTTTGATCTGATCCCACAGGCTAGCCAGGCCGAGAGACCCGACTGGTAAAGTATTAAATAAGAAAAAGATATCAATTGCAGTATTTTAATTCCAGTAAATTTTTTTTACCTTCAGGGAGTTGGAAACTCAACTATTGGAGCAATGTACTGTTGACACAAGTGCTGCTAAAGAACAGAGCCTTCCCTCTGTGATGGGTAAAGTCATTTTAAACTATTTAAAAGTAGTTTACATTATTTGCTTTTCATTTTTCAACTTTTTAAAAAAATTTTATTGATTTCAGAGAGGAAAGAAGAGAGAGAGAAACATCAATGATGAGATAGAATCATTGATTGGCTGCTTCCTGCACGTCCCCTTCTGGGACCGAGCCCAGAACCCGGAATTGAACCGTGACCTCCTGGTTCATAGGTCAACACTCAACCACTGAGCAATGCTGCCTGAGCACAACTCATGTTTTTTAACTCCATCGCATATTCCTTTTCCCCTACATCACTAATGATATTGCTCTAACGGGAAGGTCATTATTGAGCTTTTCACCACCAAACCCAGTATAGTTTTAGTCATCTTTTCTAGAACTTTTGACATTGTTGATTATCATGTCTTCTTGATATTACCTTTGACTTTCAGGAATGCTGTTGATTCTCAAACATATCCCTGGGCCTGACCCTTCTAAACTTCATTGCATATTTCCAACTGGCCATTAGATATAAACTAGGCATGTCTCTAGGCACCTCAAGACTAAGTGAACATGTTATCTCCTCTAAATTTGTTTCAGTGAATTATTCTTAGATAAGGATAACATATTTATATCTTTTTAAAAAACTGAGAGTTATCAGGTCCTTTTGTTCTCCTTTAGAAATCTCTTAAATTTCATATTTTTTTAAATCATCCATCCCACTGAACATCTGAAAACAAGGCCATTGTAAATTAGGCCCTCATTATTGCCTCTGCCTACCAGCCTGATCACCCCCTAACCACTTCCCTGCCAGCCTGATCAACACCTAACTGCTCCCCTGCTGGCCTGATTGCCCCTAACTGCCCTCCCCTGCCGGCCTGGTTTCCCTCAACTGCCCTCCCCTGCTGGCCTGGTCACCCCTAACTGCCCTCCCTTGCCAGCCGGGTCCCTCCCAACTGCTCTCCCCTGTTCGCCATCTTGTGGCAGCCATCTTGTGTTCTCATGGGTGTGGCCATCTTGTATGTTGGAGTGATGGTCAATTTGTATATTATATCTTTATTATATAGGATATTTTTAAGGTATCCTCTTTTTGTCAAATTTATGAGTAGTGACATTCAGTAGTTCTTTGTGCACACCTGGCTTTAACTTCTGTGCTTTTGCTTGGCTTTAAACGATGAAATTTCTTCCCTAAAAGAAAATTAATTCTATTTGTTTGTTTGTTTTAATTATAGTACTGCCTGGCTGGCATGGCTTAATGGTTGGATTTTGACCTAAGAACCAGGATGTCAGGGTTCAATTCCTGGTCAGGGCACATGCTGAGTTGCAGGCTCAATCCCCCATAGGGGGCATGCAGGAGGCAGCCGATCAATGATTCTCTCTCATCATTGATGTTTCTATCTTTCCTCCGTTCCTCTCTGAAACCAACAAAAATAAATATTTTTTTAAATTATAGTACTTAAAATTTTGCTGAAATGGACATGTGAATGCAATATAAGAGACTGTTTTTGCTTATAATATTGTATAGTTTTAAATAAAATTTCTGTTTTAGGTGCAATTCCAGAAGGTGTCTTAGAGGACATTAAAGGTAAATTAAGTTCCCATTTTGTCCCTTTGATTCTTAAGTATTGGTTTGGGTGGCACGTGTTTTAAAATATTTACACAGTCCTAACTGGTTTGGCTCAGTAGATAGAATGTCGGACTGAAGGGTCCAAGGTTTGATTTCAGTCAAGAGCCTGTTCCTTGGTTTCGGGCACATCCCCAGTAAGGGGATGTACAAGAGGCAGCTGATCGATGTTTCTAACTCTCTACCCTCTCTTTTCCCCTCTGTAAAAAATTAATAAAATATGCTTTTTAAAAAATAAATAAAATATGTATACAGATACAAAATGTACTAAATTCATTATGTAATACCCAAAAATATTTCACATGTAGGATATGGAGTAATGTAAAATTTTTCTTTTTCTTTAGATTTATATAAGCTTTTGGCATTATTTATGATGTGTTATTGAAGAAACTTCTCAATTATAGATATAATATACAGGATTACTAGGAAATTAGTACTTTCCAAAGTATGAACTTACAGTTAAATTGCTTAAGAAAGCCACTGGTTTTATGTCATGTAGGTTTTTTTCTTAAAAGAGAGAAATCAATAAAAATATATTTTAAAATAAATAAATAAAAATAAAGAAGGGCACATTTCTCTGACAACTATGTTATCTTGAAGGCTAGCATTTGTCTTACTTAGATAGTTCGTAGGACTTGAATAAAATATAACATATATAAGTAACTTGAGCACCTAGCTTATTGTCTAACACAGGGGTCTGCAACCTTTAAGACATAAAGAGCCACTTGGACCCATTTCCAAAGGAAAAAAAAAACCTGGGAGCCGCAAAACCATTGCGACATTTAAAACAAATATAACACTGCATATATTGTTTCTTACCTTAATGCTATATACCGGATCATGCAATTAGCTGTCAATCTGAAGAAAAAAAAGGACTTTTTCACTTAACAATGTAAAATATATTTTTGCAAATTAATAGCTAATTAAAATATTTAATTTACCTGGTTAATGGGATTTTTGCTCCTGAACCTCAGTACACAGTGTCAGCACATCAGGGCTGTAAGACGTTACCTTCATTTTCACACAGGCTTGCAAGTTGTCGGGGCCGCAGTAAAGCTTCAAAAGAGCCGCATGCAGCTCTGGAGCCGTAGGTTGCCGACACCTGGTCTAACATATTAACATATTGTAGATTCTTCTTCTTTTTTTTTTTAATATATTTTATTGATTTTTTTACAGAGAGGAAGGGAGAGAGATAGAGAGCTAGAAACGTCGATGAGAGAGAAACATCAACCAGTTGCCTCCCGCACACCCCCCACCTAGGATGTGCCCGCAACCAATGTACATGCCCTTGACTGGAATCGAACCCGGGACCCCCCAGTCCGCAGAGCGATGCTCTACCACTGAGCCAAACCGGTTTTGGCTAGATTCTTAAATATATTTTGAATTAGTGAATGAAAATAATTTTACATATGTAAATATATATTTAACATTGTTTTGTAAATAGTTAACCAAATCGTTAGATTTCTTGCACTCAACATCAATTTTGTTTTTACTAAAAAATGTTTTATTCTTTACCTGTTTCTGAGAATAACTTAATCAGCTTATTATAAAAGATACTTTGCAGTAGAAATAATCTTTAAAAGAAGAAATTTTAAAGTATAAAAACAAAAATGGTGCTATAATAGAAGGAAAGTGATAGTACTGAGTTGTGGCAAGAGGCAGAAAATAATCATGCCAAAAAACTGAAAACTAAGGAATGTTACTATAACTAGGAGCAAAATTTGGCTTTGTGTTCTAACCAACCAAGATTTGAAAAAAAGAATCAGCTGGATAATTACATAAGATTAGATATAGAAATATGGATCAATCTTGTTAAAAAAAAAAAACATTCTATTCAGTTACACATTTTCATGATGTAAAATTTATTTTTATTATGGTAATCTTTATATAAGGAATAGTTTCCTCAAAAATGTTGGTTTTTTTTCAATGTGGTTTTACGTTAGATGACCACAACATGTCTTATGACTCCTCTATGAACAGCAAGGTTTTTTTATTTGTGAAGAAATTGTTATAAGCTAACTAAAGACAGGTATAGTTTATACAAGTTGAATGAGTGGATAATTAGCATGTCTACTTGAAGAGGATTTTTTTAACAGAGACATAGATTGACTCAACGACAAACCATAACTAAATCTCCTTTTCTTTCCAGTGCGCACTTGCTTTGTCAGTGATCTGAATCGTGGACTAAAAATCCAAGCAGCAAAATTTAATATCGATGGAAATACTGAGGTAAGTTCATAATAGATGTATATATTTTTTCTGAAGCTTATTTGTATTTATTTATATATTTATATTACTTATATTTCAGCGTCCCTCACCACCCCCAAATGTTGACTATCCATTAGATGGAGAGAAGATTTTACATGTCCTTGGATCAATCAGGTTAGACCTTAATTTTTATGAGCAAAATAATGAACTAAAATAAATTGTTGGCCTTTCAAAGTATTTACTTCAACACATAGAAGCTTGTCTCTCATTTAAGAGAAGTTCAGATGTAGATAGTCCAGGGAAAGTATGACAGCTCCCATCAGGGACCCAAACATTTTTTCTCTATTATCTTTGGAGTATAGTCTTTTTCCTTGGGGTCTAGTATGGTTGCTGGAGTTATAGCTAATACATCAAGCAAGCATTTCTAGGAAGGGAAAGAAAAAGGCATCTTCCTCTTTTTTTTTTTTTTTTTTTTTTTTAAATGGAGACTTCCTAGAAGTTCCATATACCCCTTCTGCCTCCATTTTATTGTCTAGTACTTAGGTACATCTAGCAGCAAGGAGGGCTGATAGAGTGTTTTTACTTGAGGCATTATATCCATTATAAAAAATGGAATCCTATCTTTTTTAAATTTTCAAGTAATTATAGATTCACAGGAAGTTGCTAAGGTAATATAGAGAAGTCCTGTATGTTCTTCACCCAATTTCTCTCAATACTTATATCTTACATAACTATAATACAGTATCAAAACCAGTAAATTGGCATTGGTGTAATGTATATGAATAGTTCTGTGTAATTCTTAACACAGGTAGATTTAATCACCACCACCATAGTCAAGATATTGAACTATTCTATTGCCACAAAGATCTTCCTTGTTTTGCTCAAAATAGGATTCTTTTAATTTGGTGGGGCAGGAGAGAAGGGGATGAAAAAAATGAAAAGTGGATTTTTTTTAGACAACTAGCAGTGTTGGCTATATATTATTATTTTTAAAAACAAAAAAATGCTTTAGTGGAGGAGACTTTTGTTTTTATTTTTAATTTTGCTTATTTATTTTTATAATCTTCACCTGAGGATATTTTTCCATTGATTTTTATAGAGAGAGGGAGGGAGAAACTCCCTTGGCTGGAATCAAACCCTGGACCCTTTAGTCCACGGGCTGCCGGTCTATCCACTGAGCCAAACTAGCTGGGGCACGTTTATTGATTTTTAGACCTCTTGTATCACTACTGATCTGCTTGTTGAGTCTTACTAACTTTTATAGAATGCTGTTCCTTTTCTGTTACTAAGTTTAAGGAGGTATAGCTGGACAAAATATATGTAAATCTAAACATAATAATTGTAGACAGTACTTAGGGAATGCCTTCTATGTGCCAGGCACTGTTCTGTTAACTCATTGAGTCATCACCTCAACACCTGTGAGGCAGGTACTATTATTCTCATTTATAAATATAAACACATTGGTTGTATTTTAATAATTATCCTATATTAACAAGATATTGGTTCTTTAAAATGTGTCAATAAAGCTAATAGTATATTCTGTATCATTTTATGAGATGCCAACAAAGTACTCTGTTTTTAATCTCATTAGAGATTCGGTTGTGGAAATTCTTTTTGAACAAGATAATGAAGAGAAGTCTGTAGCTACGTTAATATTGGATTCCCTTATGCAGGTATTTTTATTTAATAAAATGTTTAAATTTATGACTACAGCCCGTTAGAGAAAAACTTTAAATTTATATTATTTAATTTTAGCCATCAGTTACATTATTTTATTTTATGGTTGTTGTTTGTTTGTTTGTTTTTTCTTAATCCTCACCCTAAGGCATTTTTTCCATTGATTTTTAGGGAGAGTGCAAGAGAGAGGGAAACATTGATGTGAAAGAAACACATCGATTGGTTGCCTCCTGCATGAGCCCTGACTAGGGCCCCGGGTCAGGGAGGAGCCTGCAATCTAGGTGCATGCTCTTGACTGGAATCAAACCCCGTGCCCTTTGGTCCATAGGCCAATGCTCTATCCACTGAGCCAAACTGACTAGGTTTAGCTCTTATGTTAAATGTAATAATTATTTAGTTTTGCTTTGGCACTATGGTATAATACCTTCAATATTTCAACCTAGGGATAGATAGTAAGTCTTATGGACATATTCATTTTTCCATAGCAGTAATGCCAGATTTTTATTTTGTAGCTAGAATGGTTTATAGTTTTTTCAAATGCAGATTTGGGTAATGTTGAATTTTAAATTCCAGGGTGTATATGGTAATATTTATTTTTTGTTTAATGATTGTGGAATCGCAGAACTTTATGTGAATACATCACATTGGAAGATATTGTCTATCTCTAGAGCTCCATTCAAGGACTTTTATGAAAAATATGACATCAGTGGAGGATTTTAACATTTCTAATTCTTAGAGAGCGCTGATATGGAAACAGTTTTTTCCAAGAACGTTATCTTTCCACTCAACAATTGGCTTTGGATATAATATTGTGAAGATAATATCTTTAGAAAATTTAAGTTTCCACACTTTCTTTACTGAAAAAGAAATTAAAAGTTACTTTTCGTGTTCTGTGCTCCACTCATTCTATCCTGAAAATGAGAAAACTCACATAATTACCACCATATGCCCCATAGAATTTATAATTCTATACTATTAGATTTTAAAACCTTTGAAGTTCTCTATGAGTATATGGCAATATTAGGGTGGTTGTATTTGCAGCATTAAAACTTCCTTATGAAAGAAAACTTTCTGTGGCCATTATGTAATACAGATAATTACTTATTTCATGTGTAATACTTAAGCTGTGTGTTTTTTTTAAATCTAGTTAAACATTATTTATACAGTTAATGATAAATCCTTTTTTTTTTTTTTTCTTTCTCTTTAATAACAGTGCCCAATAGACACCAGGAAGCAATTAGCAGAGAACTTGGTAATCATAGGTGGCACATCTCTGTTGCCAGGATTTCTCCATAGATTGCTTGCAGAAATAAGATATTTGGTAGAAAAACCAAAGTATAAGAAAACACTTGGCACCAAGACATTCCGTATTCATACTCCACCTGCAAAAGCTAATTGTGTGGCCTGGTTGGGAGGTAAGAATTTAGTTTTTAAAATATAATGATTATATACTAGTTGGTTTCTGAATAGTATAACTAATGGAGATATATAATAGATGGTTCAATGTCCAAAATTGCCCACTTAATAAACTAATAGAACTATTAAAGAATTTTTTGTGAACATTCATTTTTTCCTTAAATTGTTAATTTTCAGAATTACACACCTATTTCTCTTGGCATTTGGATTTTACATTTTTTATATATTTTTAAATATTTTTAAAACATTTTTATTTATTTCAGAGAGAAAGGGAGAAAGAGAGTTAGAAACACCAATGATAAGAGAGAATCATTGATTGGCTACCTCCTGCATGTCCCATACTGGGGATCGAGCCCGCAACCTGGGCATGTGCCCTGACTGAGAATCTAACTGCGACCTCCTGGTTGATAGATCAACTGATGCTCAGCCACTGAGCCACACAGACCAGGCTGCACTTTGATTTTTTTAAAAATAAAATTTTTTGTCCAATTAGAGTCATCCCTCATAATAGTAGGGGCTGTGCATTTATTCCAGCGATGCTACTACCATTTCTTTTTTTCCTTTTTTTTTGTAAATCCTCACCAGAGGATATTATCCCATAGATTTTTAGGGAGAATAGAAGAGAGAGCGAAAGACAGAAACATCTGTATGAGAGAAACACATCTGTTGGTTGCCTCCTGCAAGAGCCCCGCCCAGGGCCTGGGCAGGAGAGGAGCCTGCAACCCAGGAACATGATCTTGATTGGAATGGAACACAGGACCCTTTGATCCATAGTCCGACACTCTATCCACTGAGTCAAACCGGCTAGGGGACTACTACCATTTCTTAAAACATGTTTTAATTCCTTAGAGTCATGGTTGGCAAACTGCGGTTCGCAAGCCTCATGTCGCTCTTTGGCCCTTTGAGTGTAGCTTTTCCACAAAATACCACGGCCTGGGCAAATCTATTTTGAAGAAGTGGCGTTAGAAGTTTAAATTTAAAAAATTTAGCTCTCAAAAGAAATTTCATTCATTGTACTGTTGATATTTGGCTCTGTTAACTAATGAGTTTGCTGACCACTGCCTTAGAGAAAGCTAATCTGTGAGCCATATGAAAATTGATTCTTTAGGCATAACACATGGACACAGACAATAGTGTGGTGAAGGCTGAGAGGTAGTTGTGGAGTGAGGGAGTTCATGGGGGTAGGAAAGAGGACATCTATAATACTTTCAACAATAAGGATGGACTAAAAAATAGATTATTTTATAATTATACTTTCTTTTGTGATTGAGTTCAGTGAACGTTTTAGAAAAAAGATAGTTTTGTTGAAATAAATAGCCTAAGAAAGTGACTACTTTAAAGATAAAAACAATCATGAGTGTGTCTTTTTGCATACATTCTGATTTGTGTTTAATGAGGCAGTTTCAGCTAATAGGTATCAGGATCTTTCTGAGAGAAAAACAAAATATTGATATTTTAAATGTATCTATAGTAAAGTTTCATCAAAATGTGATTTTGATCTAAGACAACTGGATTTAGTTCTAAATTATATTTTAAAGACTGCCCTGGAGTGTATTTATAAGGTGTTCAGCATAGATTCTTAGGATATGACGATGCTTTTTTGGGTTTTGCAGTACCATTTTGTTTATTTTATTTTATTTATTTATTTTTTAAATATATTTTATTGATTTTGTACAGAGAGGAAAGGAGAGAGATAGAGAGTTAGAAACATCGATGAGAGAGAGTCATCGATCAGTTGCCTCTTGCACAACCCCTATTGGGGATATGCCCGCAACCAAGGTACATGCTCTTGACCGGAATCGAACCCGGGTCCCTTCAGTCCCCAAGCCGACGCTCTATCCATTGAGCTAAACCGGTTTCGGCCCATTTTGTTTATTAACATATAATCTTAGAATTGTGGCAAAGAAAAACTAAGGGTATTTATTGTATTTATGGAATTGAAAATACTTTCCACCCCTCTCTGCCTCACTTGCTTTTAAACTCAGTAATACTTGTTACAATTTTTACTATAATCTGTTACCTATATACATGAAAGCCTAAGCAACTGTTATAACCGAACAACCGAAACGACCGTAATACCAGTCTCTATGACACGCACTGACCACCGGGGGCAGTTGTTCAATGCAAGGGGCAGATGCTCAACTCCTGGTGGTCAATGCACTTCTACAGCCAACCTCCTGTGGCCCCTTCCCTCCCAGCCGGCCAACCTCTCCCCCTAGCCTGCTGGCCCGTGGATAGGCCTCAATCACCTGCCAGGCCACGGGACCCTTCCTGTGCATGAATTCGTGCACCGGCCTTCTAGTAGGCCGTAACACAGTAGTTATGGCTTATTTGAAATATAGGATATAGAACAACTCAACTGGAATTAATTTGAATTGCGTTGTTGAACTTTACCTTTTCTGTCTTGTGATATAATAAAGTGGGTGTATGTGTACATAAAATTTTCTGGTAAAAGTTTTCATCTTAGTTAAAAAATATTTTTATCACCAGGAGCTATTTTTGGAGCACTGCAAGACATACTGGGGAGCCGTTCTGTCTCAAAGGAATATTACAATCAGACAGGCCGTATTCCTGATTGGTGTTCTCTTAATAACCCACCGTTGGAAATGATGTTTGATGTCGGGAAAACTCAACCACCTCTGATGAAAAGAGCATATTCCACTGAGAAATAAATGTTTGAATAAATTCAGCTTTGTTTCATTTCATCTATCAGACCAATTACAAGCAAATTGTACAAAGTATGCAAGACGCTGTTAGAGATGACTTTTGTGGAAGTGAAAGTATTTCTGTAATTTTCTCATTATTAATACTTTTGACTTTTGTTTTTCTTGTGTAGTGATAAAATGGTAGCTGATGCTTATGAAATACGTTGTATTTATATCAATAAAATATAGCAAAGCAGTCTTGTTTTGGAAGTTTGTTACATAGTATATTTTTTATTTGTTTTTTGTGGGTATACATATGTACTTTATTGATTTCAGAAAGGAAGGGAGAAGGAGAGAGAGAATCATGATCCCCTATTGAGCCCCCAACCCTGGGCATGTGCCATGACCGGGAATCGAACCAGGACCTCCTGGTTTGTAGCTGGATGATCAACTACTGAGCAATACCTGCCAGGCACATAGCACATTTTTAAAAAGAGAATAATAGCTCTAGCTTGTTTGGCTCGGTGGCTAGATCGTCGGCCTGTGGACTGAAGGGTCCCAGGTTCAGTTCCATGGGTTCAATTCCCCATAGGGGCATGCAGGAGGCAGTTGATCAATGATTCTCATCATTGATGTTTCTATCACTTTTCTTCTCCCTCCCTCTCTGAAATCAATATATATATATATATTTTTTTTTTTACAAAAAGAGAAAGGAACTAACTATTAAAGGTTATAAAAATTTTTTAAACATATTTCCTCCACACTTCACATAATCTGTCCTAGGCATTGGAGATTCCAATAATTTCATTATTTTTAGCAATTATTTCATTTAAAGAACAAATAATAAAACCAATTAAGATATTAACATTGGTCTATTTCTTAAAATCCTTGTTATGGTATTTATGTGTCCATGTTAAAATAATGTGTTTTTCCAGAAATATATTTGACACTTTGGATTGAGAAGTTTGAGAGCAAAGGTAAGCATTTGTTAAAGTATGGAAATAATCACTTCCTAGCTTTATAATTTCTGTTATCAACCATTCTACATTTCTAAGAAAAAAAAAATACTTGATTTTCTGCGTTTTAAAAAATATATGTATATTTTTTATTGACCAGAGAGGAAGGGAGAGAGAGAGAAATATCAATGATGAGAGAATCATTGGGCAGCTGTCTTCTGCAGGCCCCCTACTGAAGATCAAGTCTGCAACCTCAGGCATGTGCCCTAGACCAGAATCGAACCTGGGACCCTTCCAGTGCTCTATCCACTGAGCCAAACAAGTTAGGACTGCTTTAATGCTCTGCTCCGTAAACATGTATCATGACTTCTTTAATCTTTTGTGATTTTTATCTTCTCAAGGTTGTGGTTCTTTGAAATAATGTACTTAGTCATTGTTTTTTTTATTTTGGTTTTTCTTCATTTCTTTTTTTTTTTTAAATATATTTTATTGATTTTGTACAGAGAGGAAAGGAGAGAGAGAGAGAGTTAGAAACATCAATGAGAGAGAGTCATCGATCAGCTGCCTCTTGCACACCCCCTACTGGGGATTTGCCCACAACCAAGGTACATGCCCTTGACCGGAATCGAACCCGGGACCCTTCAGTCCCCAAGCCGACGCTCTATCCATTGAGCCAAATCGGTCTCGACGGTTTTTCTTCATTTCTTTTTAATGAACTACCAGATCCTAACATTTTGCTGGTTTCATTCTTTGTATGTACCTGCAAAGATGGGAAATATGTATATTCCTATGTACTCTCATTTCTGAAGACAGTAGGAATTGATATATTTTCTGAATTCTATATCCCAAGTCTATTAAACCAGTGGGGGAAAAACAAAGTTCAAAATTGCCATCTATTTTTGTAATCATTTCTAAAACAGATTCCTGTGTCTTCTGTGCCTACCACTCTTCCATAACACCTTTTTTCCCAAAGTAATGATCTTTCTCATTATTTGTAACTGAGGTACTTAACAGTTTTCACCTTATAATTGTGTCTACAAAGCTTTTATCTTCCTTTTGGGAATACAAGCTCTATAATAAAGCCCCTTTATTTCGTGGTTTTTTAAAAAAATATTTTTATTGATTTCAGAGAGTAAGGAGAGGGAAAGAGATACAGAAATATGATGTTAGAGAATCATTGACCTGTTACCTCCTGCGTGCCCAACACAGGATCAAACTACCTGGCATGTGCCCTGATGGGGATTCCAACCATGACCTGGTTCATAGATGGATGCCCAACCATAGCCGTGTCAGCTGGGCCAAAGCCTCTTTATTTCTTAGCTTTGAAATTTCTCCTTGGGATTCTACTATTAATTGTCAATTATATAGGTTTACTATTAACATATTTATAGTAAAATTCTGTTTTGTTGAATTTAGATTATGAGAAGTTTTTGTTTTGTTTTAATAGTTCTTTATTATTGAAAGTATTACGTATGTTCCCCTTTTCCCCCCATTGACTCCCTCTAGCCTACCCCTGCCCCAGCCCCAGGTCTTCACCACCGTATTGCCTGTGTCCATAGGTTATGTATATATACATACATACAAGGTCTTTGGTTGATTACCTCCACCACCCACCCACCCTTCCCTGCCTTCCCTTCTGAGATTCAGCACTCTGTTCCAAGCTTGCTTATGAGAAGTTTTTCATCGTGGAATAATATAAAAAATAAGATCTCTATCTGAAATAGAGCTTTATAGCTAGCAGTGAAGTGGCAGACACCTGGTAGCTGAGGTTAAAAATGGAGCCCACTGTTAGGGTTGAATTGTGGGCTTCAGAAAGATCTTGAAGTCCTAATCCCAGTACCTGTGAATGTGACCTTATTTGGAAATGAGGCGTTTGCAGATGAAATCACATTAAGATGAGGTCATTGGGGTGGGCCCTAAGCCAGTAAGAATGGGGTCCATATAAGAAGAAAATCCCTGGGCGGCAGAGCAACTGGAGGAGAAAGCATGTAACAACCGAGGTAGAGACTGGAGTTACACAGCTGCAACCCAAGGAATGCCACGTAGTGCTGGTGCCCTCCAAAAGCTAAGAGAAAGAACCGTAGAACAGATTCTTCAAGAGCCTTTGACAGCATGACTGTCTATACCTTGATTTCAAGCTTTTAAGCCTCCAGAACAGTGAGACAATAAATTTTGGTTATTTTAAGCCATCCAATTTGTGATATTTTATGGTGGCAGCCCTAGGAAACTTAATAACCCTTCATAACTCACTAGGAAATTAAAACCTGAGGAGAGAGGTTGTGGGAAACTTTGATTTATAGTCCAGTGGGTAAAGACCTGGACTTCAGATTAGCATCTCACAGATCATCCACTTCAGACAAACTGGTCACTGTCCAACTTAAAACACCAAACATCCTCTTACTCAATGAGTGTCTTTTACTTTACTAATTTCAGCTTTATGCCTGAAATGATAATAAGCCAAACTTGTTCAATTACAGGTGATTTTTTTTGGTCTGGTTGAAGGCAATATCAGGGTTAAGAGATGCAAGTAGAGGAATCTTGCAGGCGACTGGGAGGGGATGACTTGTTTCAAAGGGGAAGAGAAGTAGAATGGCAGCCTATTTCTTTAAGTCTTGGAAAAAGTGCCAAAATCGGTGCTCATATTTTGTTTTGGTAGAAGCAAAAATTGCCCTCTACGAATAATAAGACTAAAATAGTAACACCGAGAACGAGTCTCAACTTTAAACAGTGGATTTTCAGTTTCCTATGTGGTTTGAGGAGGAAGTTGGGGGGAAGAGACCGCAGAAAGAGGAACGTGCGCCTTCAAGTGCGCAAGCGCGGTCTGAGACCAGTTTCGTTTGCAAAATAAGCTTTTTTCCGGAGATCTGGCTGACATAGAAAATAAATAGGTTTCAAGATCCCCTAGTTGGTCATGGTGCTTTGGAGAACCTTAAAACAAAATTCCCTACGGAAGTGCAAAACAACCGCCCAACGTGGGGCTCGAACCCACGACCCTGGGATTAAGAGTCCCATGCTCTACCGACTGAGCTAGCCGGGCGCATGTAACCCGGTGGCGATTTTCTACTTCTTGATCATTGTTTAGCTACATTACGTTTTCTACCTATCTGCTAGAAAATTGTATCATGCTATTAAATATGAACGACCCAATTATTTACACTAATTCTTTAAAACATTTCTTTAATTGAACTGGAATTTAACAATTTATTTTGCGTGTGTTATATCAAGATCACTGAAAACATATGCAAATCTTTATAATTACAGGTTCATTCACTGAATCTTTTCTCTGAAGTGTTTTAAAATACTGCTTAATATGTTGACGATTCTCGGGGAAAAGGGGAGAGGGGGGTGTGGGAAGAGACGGAACATAAACTGCACCTATGGATGGGGACAATGGGGGGAGGGGAAAGTGAAAAGTGTGGGGTGGGAACCTGGTGGAGGGGAGCAATGGAGGAGGGGGGGAAACTCTTATCACCAATGTTTAGCAGAGTACTTGGAATATAGGAACATTTGAAATAATATGAACAATAAAGATTTATTTTTAAAAAAATAAAATAAAATAAAATAAAATAAAATACTGCTTAATATGTTATCTTCAGAAAACACGTATCAAGGCTATCAGATGATATACTGGATTCCTACAACGTGGGAAACAACATTAAAAAACAAAGTTTAGTCCACACACACCCGGACCTCCGCCACGTGGAGGCACACTGGAACCAAACAGAATTGATTAGTGTAGCTCCGACGCATGGACATGTAAATTCTTTAAGCTTTCCATATTTAAAAACAATGACAACACAAACAAACAAATTCAACCATTAAAAGGTTACACTGAAAAATAAAAAAAGAAAAGAAAGAAAACCCAGCAGAGTTAGCTTTTTTTCTTTAGTATGATCTAGTCAAGGGAAGTTTAATTGAGGAAGGGGCTTCTGGTCCACTTAATAAGAGGCCTCTTTCTGATATCCGCCTGACAATTGAGAGATGCGACCCTCAAAGACAATTATCCAGCTCAAATAACAGAAGCTGAGAGGATAGAATGAGTCATTGACTCGTGTGGTAAAGAATGTTAGTTCTTAGGGGAAAGAAGAAAAACTGATTTTAACCAATTTATGACATTCGGAGACAATGGAATTACTAAGCCACTATTTATATTAAGCGATTATTTCCAGATTAAAGGAACATAAAGAACTGCAACTGAATGCAATGTGTGGTGTTGGATTTGTGTGTGCGTGTGTGAAGGGCATTACTGAATTGCCAACATCTAAAAAAGTTTGTATATTAAAAAGTAGAATTGTTAATTTTCTGATTTTCATAATTGTACAATGACTACTTAAAATACTATTGTTTTTGGGAAAATACACAGAGGCATTTAATAGTTTAAAAAGTGCTAATTGTCCTGCTTTAATAATAAGACTAAAGTCTAAACCACTACAGTATCAGGTTCCATGTCCACCTCTGTGATTTTACTTCCTGCCGTCTCCCCCACTTAATCACTGACAGGCCAGGCTGCCCTGATCGTTCCTGCAAAATGTCAAGCTTATATTCCCATAACAGTCCCAAGTTTCCCTTTAAATATCACCCATTCCGAAAGTCATTCTGTAAGTACCAGGTCTCAAGTCCAAACCATTGCCTTCTGTGCCTTCTTACCACAAGGTCCAATTTATTTTGCCTATTTCGTTATATTGTATGTAAGATTCCATGAGGGTTGAGGTTAGGTCTACTCCACCTCTTTATCGCCAGTGTTTAGCAGAGTACCTGGAATATATTAGATCTCAACCAATATCTTTAATCAGTTTTATCCTTAATTCCACTAAATAGTTCTTTTCACAAAAAGGGTACCAATGCTTCTGCAAAATTCCTGAGCTCAAATGTGAGATACCTTTAGCGTGCAACTTCCAACGTTGTGAGGATGGGCGGGGTGAAGGGGATGCCCTCAGAATAATGGGGCAGAACCGGGCCGCCGAGGGTGGAGGGAGACACCTGCTCTATTGCTTTCTCTGGTCTTGGGAAGAACACCTCTGCTTTGCTCTAAGAAGGAACAAGGTATCAAGATAGAGGGATAACTTAAAAGATAAATAATTCCTAGGAAATGGAATAGAGCAGTTTCTCCACCCGATGACTCAAAATGACTCCACATCACTCAACGACTGAAACTGAGGAGGAAGAATCCCTCTGCGGCCCTAACCCCACCTTCATTGTTTCTGCTTAGGCGCCTCGCCCGCGTCGACCGTCCCTCCTCCTCCTTTTCCTTTCCCACAATCCTCTGTTCCCGGAACTAAACCCCGAGGAACGAACCACAGAGAAGGCCATTGGTTGAGAGGTCAGCCAATGAGAGCGCCTGTTACTGGTCTGCGTGCCGCGGTGCAGCGGGAGCGCTTTCGGCCCAGAAACCCTACACGTTCCGCCGGTTTTTAGCAGGATGAGCTCGATCGGCACCGGGGTGAGTTCCTTATCTCTCGGTGTGATCGTCTAGTCAGAAGGATTCGCGTGGAAGGGAGCTCGGGCGGGCCGCTCAGGATGCGCCAGGCCGGGGTGCACTGGGGCTGTTTGTGGGAAAGCGGGCCGCTTCCAGGCGTCCCCCCCGCACACACGCTCCTTTCTAGGCCGGAGCCCGCGGGGACGGCGGCCTGAAGCTCCGCCGCTCCGGTGCGGCGGGCCTGGCGGCGCCGCGGCGGGGTTCGGAGCCGCCTTGGCGTGCTGAGTCACTTTCGTGACCCTCCCGGGGAAACCGAAAGTGGCAACTCGCGGGGCCCGAGGCAGACTGTGTGCGGGGTTTGGGCGTCAGCGTCAGCCCCTCTGGAGAAGCACGGAGGCCGGGCGGCGTGTGGTTCCGAGCCCCGAGACGCCGCGCTCCGTGGACCGTGCCGTGCAGGTGCTCAGGTGCTGCTGACTCACGGGCCTGCTCCAGCTTCCCTCCGCCTGAGGGATCGCTCAGTGCTCCTCTTTGGGAACTCTGTCGGGACAGGACTAATAAGAAAAAATGGTCTGAAAAGCGACATCTGAAGACTCCTTTACGTTTTTCCTTTGTCCCAGCTTTTTCTGTACAGAGTACTTGGTAAGCTACTGCGAACACTGACATCGTTAGCTCGGGACCTCCCCGCTTCCGACTGTCCATGGACAAGACGGTTGAGGATTTTGAAAGTCCTGCTAACAATTTCTTGTTAAACGTACTGCAGATATGCCATCATTTCCTTACCCCTTTTATGTATTTCTCCATATAGAAAATGCTGTTTTGTTTAGGGTGTTTGCATGAAGGCGTTGAATAATGGGTTTCTGAGTTCATCACATTCTGCAGTTCACAGGATTTTGATCCTCAGCATGAAACCCAAGTACTGGTTTTCCGAGTTTGACAGTAGTAGGCTTATGTTTGGAATGGTTTATTCCATTTGGTTCTGTGATGCTGAAGTGTGTGTGTGTGTGTGTGTGTGTGTGTGTTTTGGACGGGGGGATAGTAGTTGCTTAGCAATATATATTATAGCAAATTGACTTTGCAACTGCATTAATATTACTTTGGATTGGTAGTGTTTCATTCTCCAAAGAGACAGAGACAGAGAGAGAGAGAGAGAGAGAGAGAGAGAGAGAGAGAGAGAGAGAGAGATATCTGTGAAAACAATTGATAATATAACTTTTTGTTGTTATAGTGGTAGAGTTAAGAATCTTTAACACATCAGGAGTTAAGAATCTTTAACACATCTTTAACATACCACTGTGAAGGGCTCATCTGTTATCACTTTAATAGGATCTACTTGACATTTCTGTCCACTTGATTGTTTAACAGGCATTTCACACTACACATCCAAAGTAGAGCTCTGGGTTTTCTTGCCATTTGCATCTCTTACAATTTTAAGTCTTCAGTGAATGGTCCAGTTCTAGATGCTCAAGTGGGAAAAAAAAAAAATGTATGATTCACCTTTAATTTCTTTTTTACTTCCGATTTGCATCTCCTATAATCTTCAGTGCAGTGAATGGTCCAGCTATAGTTCCTCAAAAGAAAAAAGTCTGATTCGCCTTTCATTTCTTTTTTACTTTACTTCTATAGCCAATCCATTAGCAGGGTTTTGTTGGGGAAGGGATGAAGTTCTTTACCCTCAAAAGATTGCTTTCCATCATTTTTTCTCTAGTCGAAGCACCGCCTTTGGAATACTGATCTCTGCTTCCACTCTTGTTCCCACTGCAATTCATTTTTCAGATGATTTTTAAAAATTAGATTATATCACACTCACCCCATTTACATTCTAATGACTTCCTATTGCATTTAGAATAAAATATAAACTTTTTACTCCAGCCTGGAAGGCAGTAGAGTTTCCCCCCACATATCTGATATAGTTTTCTCTCTACCACTTACAGTGCTCAAGATGCAGTGGCCTTACTTCTTTTCCTGGATTGTGCTAGGCTTATTTCTACCTTCAGGTCTTTAGGCCAAATGCAAGGATGGCTCCTCCATATCCTAAATGGCTAGTTACGACTGTGCCTCCGTCTAAATAACTAAGTATAATTAACTGCCCCTGCAAGACCTTTCCTGATCAGGTAGTCTGTAATAGTTACTCCTATTCCTTCAATCTGTTTTATTTTCATTATAGTCTTTTTTTTTTTTTTTTTTAAATATGGGTGTTTATTGCATTTATCTATTCTTTTTATTGACTTTTTACAGAGAGGAAGGGAGAGAGAGAGCTAGAAACGTCGATGAGAAACATTGACCAGCTGCCTCTTGCACACCTCCTACCGGGGATGTGCCTGCAACCAATGTACATGCCCTTGACCAGAATCGAACCTGGGACCTTCCAGTCCGCAGACCAACACTCTACCACTGAGCCAAACCAGTTTCGGCTATAGTCGTTTTTTGTTTTTTTTTTTAAATGTTTTTATTGGTTTTAGAGAGAGAGGAAGGGAAAGGGAGAGGAAAAAAAAATTTATATGAGAGAAAGAGAGATATCTGTGAAAACACTTGATAATATAACTTTATCAAGTGTTTTCACAGATAACACTTGTGAGAGAGAGAGAGAGAGAGAGAGAGAGAGAGAGAGAGAGAGAGATTGATTTGTTGTCTCCCGTATTCACCTGGGCATGTGGAATGGAACAGGAGACCTTTTGGTGCATGGGGCAACGTTCAACCAACTGAACCACACTAGCCAGCGCTCATTATAATCCTTTTTCTGGGTTATTGCTTTATTTCTAATATCAGATTTGTGCCTGTCTGATCTGAAATAAATGAGTTAAAGAATTAGTATTCTTTTTTTTTCCCCTCTTTTTTTTTTATTAGGAATTATATGTGTACATATCTTACCAATGCCCCCCCCCCCCCCCCCCCTCTTACATGCTCTCCCTCCCCAGAGTTTTTCGTCCATTGGTTATGCTTAAATGCAGGCATACAAGTCCTTCGGTTGATCTCTTATCTCCCTATCCTCCCCTCTGTAATTTGACAGTCTGTTTGTTTCTTTACTGTCTCTGTATCTTTTTGTTCATTAGTTTATAATGTTCCTTATCCATAAATGAGTGAGATCATGTGATGTTTTTCTTTCATTGACTGGCTTATTTCACTCAGCATGATGTTCTCCAATTCCATCCAGGTTGCTGCAAATGATGAGAATTCCTTGTTTTTTTATGGCAGCATAGTATTCCATTGTGTAGATGTACCATGGTTTCTGGATCCAATCATCTGCTGATGGGCACCTAGGCTGTTTCCAAATCCTAGCTATTGTAGATTGTGCTGCTATGAACATAGGGGGTGCATATATCTTTTTTGATTGGTGTTTTTAGTTTCTTAGGATATATTCCTAGGAGTGGGATTACTGAGTCAAATGGGAGTTCTATTTTCAGTTTTTTGAGGAAACTCCATACTGTTCTCCACAGTGGTTGCACCAGTCTGCATTCCCACCAGCAGTGCACGAGGGTTCCTTTTTCTCCGCATTCTTGCCAGCACTTGTCATTAGCTGATTTGTTGATGATAGCCATTCTGACAGGTGTGAGATGGTACCGCATTGTTGTTTTGTTTGTTTGTTTTTTTTAAATATATTTTATTGATTTTCTACAGAGAGGAAGAGAGAGAGAGAATCATCGATCAGCTGCCTCTTGCACACCCCCCACCAGGGATGTGCCCGCAACCAAGGTACATGCCTTTACCCGGAATCGAACCCGGGACCTTTCAGTCCCCAAGCCGACGCTCTATCCACTGAGCCAAACCGGTTTCGGCCCGCATTGTTGTTTTGATTTGCATCTCAAGAATGAGTATTCTTAATATTCCCTTATAGTGACTAAAATGCTTATTACATGTTTTAATGCTAAATGATTTGTCTAAGGCTCTTCAGTTTATTTAGTGACACAATTATGAATTAAAATGTTCTGACTTCAGTGCTACTTCTGCCATACCATAGTAATTACAAAATTGAGTTTTGTGTTTTATTGGAAAAAAGTTACTCTTATCTGGGACTTCTAACTATTGCTTTCCAATAGCAGAAATCTAAAGTGTATTACTTTTCCCTTAGCTTCTGTCGCTGCTCTGACATGCTAGAGCAAAGTCTTTGTTGAGAGTTAACACACATTTCTGATGTGTAAGCCATTTAGAAAAAAAAAAATGTAAGGTTATTATTGCCAAAGATACATAATTATAGGCTTATTGTTGCCCTTTTTCCTCCCAGTATGACCTGTCAGCCTCAACATTCTCTCCTGATGGAAGAGTTTTTCAAGTTGAATATGCTATGAAGGCTGTGGAAAATAGTAGGTAAGAAACATTGTTTTACTTGAAATTAACATATTATTAAATAACTCCTTTTCTATATTTTTTATACTTATCCTTTGTTACATTTACTCTGGTACAAAACATGTGTCCTAAAATAATCTCAATTTATTAGTCATTTTCAGATCTCTTTTTAGGCCAGATCATTTCATGATCCCAGTCCTATATTTCGATTTGGACATTTTAACATGTCTCAAATCTAACTAATAAAAGAGTAACATGCTATTGACCATACCTTTGTGACGCCCACCAGCCAATCAGGGGTGAGTATGCAAATTAACCCAATAAAAGTGGTGAGTTAATTTGCATAGGCAGGTACCTAGCAGCCAGGGTGGTGTGGAACACTCTAGACCTCTGGACTCTGACCTCTGGGCAGCGTGGGAAGGCGGAAAGGCAGCTGCAGCTAAAGTGAAGGTGGTGCCGGCAGCCAGGGGAAGGAAGGCCCATTCTTTTTTTAAAAATATATTTTATTAATTTTGTACAGATAGGAGGGGGAGAGAGAGAAGTTAGAAACATCGATGAGAGAGAGTCATCGATCAGCTGCCTCTTGCACACCCCCCACTGGGGATATGCCCGCAACCAAGGTACATGCCCTTGACCAGAATCGAACCCGGGACCCTTCAGTCCCCAAGCCGACGCTCTATCCATTGAGCCAAACGGATTTCGGCAGGAAGGTCCATTCTTACACGAATCTTTGTGCATCGGGCCTCTACTGTAGTGTATAACCAAATTCATTCTCATCTTTGCTAGTCTATTTCCTGGTTTATATCATTGTTTTCTTTGGCAATTAGGTTTTGACTTGTATTTCTTTCTTTTTTTTTTTTTTTTTTTTTTTTAATATATTTTATTGGTTTTTTTACAGAGAGGAAGGGAGAGAGATAGAGAGCTAGGAACATCGATGAGAGAGAAACATCGACCAACTGCCTCTTGCACCCCCCTACCAGGGATGTGCCCGCAACCAATGTACATGCCCTTGACCGGAATTGATCCTGGGACCTTTCAGTTCGCAGACCACCGCTCTACCGCTGAGCCAAACCGGTTTCGGCTATTTCTTTGTTTTTTAAATGTGCTATGCCACTAGTCATGTGTTCCTTCGTGCAGGGATTTAAAAAAAATTCTGCTGCTGCCACACTCCAAAAGGTGTAGGATCACTAAGATACTTTCCTGTTGGACTCACTTCCTCTATTTATATTTTATTGTTTAGAATAATGCACCTTAACAATCCCTTGGCAAATTTTATAAACCTTTTATTGAAGAAATTGTATCAGTTATAGTTACTTGTTAATTGTATTTTTTAGTCTAAAGAAGCATTGGGATGAATTAAAGGACTTTTAAAAATGAAAAGTCCACATGCAAATACTGAGTTAATCAAATTTGTACTAATATCTTTAAAACTGGTATATGATTATGGAGACTGTTATTTATCTTTGCATGTGCTAGCACCTAGCATGTCCTCAGGAGTTATTCCTGAATAGTAGAAAGAAAGTATGTGGATTTCTAATGGTTTATGAAATATTTAAAAATTTTTGAGCAAAAATACATTTTAAGTCCTATTACAGGATTTGAAACAAAGTTAGTTTATTTTGTGCTTAAGGGTTGTATTAGATACATTGGTATATTTATAGATAGGTTGTTGGTATCTGATACTGTAATAGGAGTAAAACTGTTAAGAATTTAGGCTAGCCAAAACCAGTTTGGCTCAGTGGATAGAGTGCTGGCCTGCGGACTGAAAGGTCCTGGGTTCGATTCCAGTCAAGGGCACATACCTTGGTTGTGGGTACCTTGGTTGTGGGCACATCCCCAGTGGGGAGTGTGCAGGAGGCAACTGGTCAATGTTTCTCTTTCATCAATGTTTCTAGCTCTCTATCCTTCTCCTTTCCTCTCTGTAAAATATCAATAAAATATATATATTTTTTAAAAAGAATTGAAGCCAAACCGGTTTGGCTCTGCGGCAGAGCGTCGGTCTGCGGACTGTAGGGTCCCGGGTTCGATTCCAGTCAAGGGCATGTGCATTGGTTGCGGGCACATCTCCAGTGGGGAGTGTGCAAGAGGCAGCTGATCGATGTTTCTCTCTCATCGATGTTTCTAGTTCTCTATCCCTCTCCCTTCCTCTCTGTAAGAAAAATCAATAAAATATATATTTAAAAAAAAAAAAAGAATTGAAGCTAAAATGTACTTGTCATTTTATACAAAGCCTGATACTAGGTATACTGGTTAAAATATAGGCTTTTGTAATCAAAGAAAACATGATATTTTCAAGAGAAACATCAAAAGTTATTCAAAGTAATGTCCATCGCTAGCTACACATTTCCCCCATCTTTCAGGTAATTTGTGGATACCGTCCCAATAGGACTTTTCTTGTTTTGAGGCAAAACATTCAGAAACCCACTTTTCTACTTCTTCGTATGTTTTCGAATGCTTCTCAGAAAGTGTGTGTGCCATCGATCAGAACAAGTGGTAATCTGAATTCAGTGGGTGGGTTAATACTTCCCAGGCAAGATCTTTTAACGTGTCTTTAACTGGTTTTGAAGTGTGTGATGATGCATCATCATGAAGCAAAAGTACTTTGCTGTGTCTTCTGGCACATTCTGGTTGTTTCATGATGAAAGCATGGTTCAAATTGGTTATTTGTTGTCGTTAGCGATTTAAAACGGTTTCACCTAGTTTTAAAAGCTCTTAATACACCACACCTTTCTGATCCCACCAAACGTAGAGCATTATCTTCTTTCAAAGTGATTTGGCCTTGCAGTGGATGTTGATGGTGGACCTGGATCACCCATTATTTTGTGCATTTATGTTTTAATATCCTTTTATGTCATAATATAAATTTTTTTGTCACATGATATTCATTTATTTGGCTATAATTCACTACACTTTAAGTAGCTTATCCTTTTTAGTTTTCAAATGTGTTTTAAAGTACTTGACATGCTTTAAAAAACTAAATGTTACCTATTTTTGTGTTTATGAACTTTATTAAAAATTTTTGATTTTCCTGTGCTTGTTTCAGTACAGCTATTGGAATCAGATGTAAAGATGGTGTTGTCTTTGGTGTGGAAAAATTAGTCCTTTCTAAACTTTATGAAGAAGGGTCCAACAAACGACTTTTTAATGTTGATCGGCATGTTGGAATGGTAAGTTCACATTTTAAAATGTTTCCTTCTGCCTTGTCCAGTTTCTTGTAAAGTAACTGATTGGAATATATTAAGATATGATTAAAAGTACCCATTTATTACTTTAGCATTGAGGTAGAAACAGATTAGAGAGCAGCCACAGAAAAATCAACAGTTACTGGTTTGTAAACAGTTTTCATAATTTGATTGGAAATAGATATGAAAAACCAAGTTGCCTTAAGAAAGGGGGAGGGGAGAGGAGTGAGAAATTTGTGTAGAAAAGAGAAGTTGGGCTCTGGTCTGTTTGGGTCAGTGGTTAGAGAGTCGGTCTATGGATGGCAGGGTAACGGGTTCAGTTCTGGTCAAGGACACTTGACTCAGTTGCAGGTTTGATCCCCAGCTTCAGTTTGAGAAGCAGCCAATGTGTCTCACATTGATGTTTCTTCTTCCCTCTTTCTTTCTCTCTCTCCCCCTGCCCCTTTTCCTCCCTTCCATTCTGTCTCTAAAAATAAATTGAGAAAATATCTTAAGGTGAGGATTTAAAAAAAAGAAAGATGTTGGCAGCATAGATCACCGATGAAGGCATACCCTTGTGGGGATCACTGTCATACTGAATATATTACTAAATAGCAGATAGCTTTATAGGAAGGCAGAGCACCAGGAAAGGATGTTTAATTAAAGGAAAAGTGAACACATCTTTTTTAATAGTTCATAGGCATCACTGTTTTTAAGTTATTTCATGCAGCTAGTATCTAGTGACTGGTTTGCACAGTTGCAAGGCAAATCATAAATACATTATACTGGTTTATACTGTGTCATTCTATATGAATGTCAGACTTTCTTCAGTAAGAACAACTTAAAAAAGGAAAGAAAGATTCTAACCCTGTTTACTGAAAAGGCTAGGAAGAAAAGAAAACCTATGTTCTGGGCACTATACTAGAGGCTCTTTACGTAAATTATTGTCTTTAATCCTGACAACCCAGTGAAAGTAATACTAATACCATTTTTTAAAAATCCTCATTAGGGCCAAAACCGGTTTGGCTTAGTGGTAGAGCATTGGTCTGTGGACTGAAACTTCCCGGGTTTGATTCCGGTCAAGGGCATGTACATTGGTTGCCGGCGCATCCCCAGTGGGGAGTGTGCAAGAGGCAGCTGGTCGATGTTTCTCTCTCATCGACGTTTCTAGCTCTCTATCTCTCTCCCTTCCTCTCTGTAAAAAAAAATCAATAAAATATATTTTTTTAAAAATCCTCATTGGGCCGGGACCGGTTTGGCTCAGTGGATAGAGCGTCGGCCTGAGGACTGAAAGGTCCCGGGTTCGATTCTGTCAAGGGCATGTACCTTGGTTGCGGGCACATCCCCAGTAGGGGGTGTGCAAGAGGCAGCTGATCGATGATTCTCTCTCATCGATGTTTCTAACTCTCTATCCCTCTCTCTTCCTCTCTGTAAAATATCAATAAAATGTATATATTTAAAAAAAAATCCTCATTAGGATAATTTTCCCAATGATTTTTCTTTTTAAAAAATATTTTTATTGATTTCAGGGAGGAAAGGAGAGGGAGAGAAAGATGGAAACGTCAATGATGAGAGAGAATCTTGGATTGGCTGCCTCCTGTAAGTCCCCCACTGGGGATCGAGCCCACAACTCAGGCATGTGCCCTTGACTGGAATCGAACCTTCCAGTTTGCAGGCCGACTCTTTATCCACTGAACCAAACCGGCTAGAACTAAATTTATTTTTTTTAGAGAGAGTGGAAGGGAGGGGGAGAAACAGAGAGAGAGAAAACATTGATGTGAGAAAGACACCTCGATTGGTTGCCTCCTGCACATGCCCCAAAGGGGCCAGAGGGTCAGGGATTGAGCTTGCAATTCAAGTGCGTGCCCTTGACCAGAATTGAACTGGAGACCCATCAGTTGGTGGGCTGATGCTCTAAGGACTAAGCCAAAATGGCTAGGACTCTAATCCCATTTTTACAAACGAGAAAATAGATCTCTATAACTGGTTAAGATATAAGCTGGGATTCAGACTTTTGGGTTTGCATGGCCTACATGTTACTCCAGAACCCATTTTGCAGGGTGAGATCCTATAGAACACACTCACTCTGCTGTTAGCCTTGATATTTCCAAATGAAATGTGTTACACACAAACACAAAAAAGGACTGGAAAATATATCCAGTTAAATGGAAAGCTACAGATAAAATTTTCTTTTGCCTTTCATACCATTGTTTTTTCTGAATATTTTTCTCTCCTGAACAAATTTATTATTGCCAATGAAACTAATATGTTTTGATGAAACTTGCCATGTTGTAATCTAGCTGATAGGAGGGGAAGTAGTAAATTAGGCACTTATCACTTAGTAAAGAATACTTTAGCCGAAACCGGTTTGGCTCAGTGGATAGAGCGTTAGTCTGTGGACTGAAAGGTCCAAGGTTCGATTCCGGTCAAGGGCATGTACATTGGTTGCGGGCACAACCAATGTGCAGGAGGCAGCTGGTCGATGTTTCTCTCTCATTGACGTTTCTAGCTCTCTATCCCTTTCCCTTCCTCTCTGTGGAAAATTAATAAAAATATATTTTAAAAGAATACTTTAGGTCGGGGTATTTTTTAAAAAATAATATATGCTTATATACACTTAGTTGATGAAAAATTGTTATCCTACAATTTTCAAATTTTTCCATTTGTTATTTAAAGCCAGGAAACTGATGGCATTTTTTAAAAAAATATATTTTATTGATCTTATACAGAGAGGAAGGGAGAGATAATTAGAAACATCGATGAGAGAGAGTCATCGATCAGCTGCCTCTTGCACACCCCCTACTGGGGATGTGCCCGCAACCAAGGTACATGCCCTTGACCGGAATCGAACCCGGGACCCTTCAGTCCCCAAGCCGATGCTCTATCCATTGAGCCAAACCGGTCCCGGCTGATGGCATTTCTTATAGCCAGAAATTGGCAAAACATTAGACATTGAAGAGGATTAGGAAGAGTGAAGGATTAATGTTTTGTTTCCACAATTGTCATCTTCAAGTGATTTGACTTTACAATAAACTTTCTCCAAAGCAATGGATGACTTAAATAATAAAGTTTACTGGCTAGGTAACCTTTGGAAAGTCACTCTAAAAACACTAGTTTTCTCAACTGCAAAACTGAGGTAATAATAGTAGGTAGCAGTGGATAAAAGGCTATTAAAAATTATAAATTCTGCCAAAGCCGGTTTGGCTCAATGGTAGAGCATCGGTCTGCGGACTGAAGGGTCCCAGGTTCGATTCCGGTCAAGGGCATGTATCTTGGTTGTGGACACATCCCCATTAGGGGATGTGCAAGAGGCAGCTGGTCGAGGTTTCTCTCTCATCGATGTTTCTGGCTCTCTATCTCTCTCCCTTCCTCTCTGTGAAAAATCAATAAAATATATTTTTAAAAAATTATAAATTCTGCAAGTTTTATAAACAAGCAGTTTCCAGATTTTTTTTGGTTTCTAGTACTTATGTCCCAGTAATTTTTTTTTCATGTCTTCTCTGGGCCAAAAAAAAATACCCAGTGGTTCTATTTATTATGTATTTAGTTAAATGTTTATGTTCTAAAAACTTAAATGTTTATGTTCTAAAAACTAAGTAGCTATAAAATAAAATGACACATAGAATGAAAGGATTATGTATATTTTAATTTTTAAACAATCACAATTAATGTGAACTGTATAACTTCTAAAGTTTGGAATCAGATTACTTGCTGCCCTCCTCATTTCCTGCTACACATTGATTTTTGCATAATACGTATTTTTTATTAGAGCAACCCAGCTTCTCAATGATTTGATGTATTGAAAAAGAGGGTAGAATGATTCAATGTTGAAATTGTGAACTGCTTTGACAAATGTTTCCCCCAAACTTCTCAACTCTTGAGAGTTCATTGCAGTGCTGTAGCTATTGCAGTGCTGTAGCTATCGCAGTACTTGGCTTGGTAACTCCAGTTGTAAACCACTAATCTTGGAAGGTCTGTGGCTTGTCAAGTTTTGGTTTGGCATAACAACTTATTAGTCAATAGGTTGAAAAAGGAGATTTGAGGTTGTGCTGTTTAGATAAAAACTTTTAATAACTTTTAGAACATAAAACTGCTATAAATAAAGATCTGTCCTTACCAAGACCAAAAGTTTTATTATTTTTGTTGTTTTAATCTTTATAATGAAGCGGAGGATTGATTATAGAAATACTCATTCAGAATGTGATCATTGGACAAAGCAATAAAGTCACACGTGGTAAATTTCTAAATTGTAATTCCATATCAAGCATCAAAAGGCCAGAATGTCTTTTGAAGATCTTTAAACAACAAAAAAAATCTTATTTTTATTGGTGATGCTTGTTAAATATTTTTAAAGCCTACAGTAATTATGTACTTCCCCTGATTTATGATTGTTATATCTATTAAATTGGTACTTATTTCTTTCAGGCAGTAGCAGGTTTGTTGGCAGATGCTCGTTCTTTAGCAGACATTGCGAGAGAAGAAGCTTCCAACTTTAGATCTAACTTTGGCTATAACATTCCACTAAAAGTAAGTTGATAACACGTTGGGGAGGCTTTTGAACAGTAATCGAGTTTCATTGATAAGCTCTTGTTTTCCTCCTTTCCCCCAGCATCTTGCAGACAGAGTGGCCATGTATGTACACGCATATACACTCTATAGTGCTGTTAGACCTTTTGGCTGCAGGTATGAAATTTTCTGATTTATATACCCAGATGTCTCCTATAGGTATCTGTTTTTCCCAGTATGTTAGCCTTTTTTTTTTTCTTGTTAGCCTTTTATACCTTAAAATTATGAGTAATACTAAGAGTAATTGTATTAGAGCAGTGATTGAATACAATGTGCATAAAAATAAAAACTTTGAAAAGTGAAAAACACTATACAGAGTTGAACTGGTGATTAAACATAGAACGCATAGTAATAATTTTGACTGTAACAAAATCTCTAGAGGAAGGTGGTTTGGTCTAAAGGTATAAACTTCCAGTTATAGGTAAATAAACATTAGGGATGTAACGTAAAGCCTTATGACTATAGTTGAAACTACTGTATGATACTTAGAAAAGTTGACAGTAAATCCTAAGAGTTCTCATCACAAGTAGAAAAAATTTTTTTCTTTACTGTACTTATATGAGATGATGGGTGTTAACTAAACCTATTGTGGTAATCATTTCAGTTTTTGTATTCAAATCATCATGCTGTATATCTAAAACTTTGATACAAGGTATATGTTAATTATTTTTCAATAAAACAAAAAAGCATTCTCTTGACGTTAGCTCCTGACATTCCCCGGAAACTGCAAATTGATATTCCATGTTGCCATTATTAGATAGCCAACTATACTGACACCTTAGTTTTCTCATTAATTTCCATCTGTATACTTGGGAGTTTAGTAGTCAGTAATAAATGCATACAAAAATACATTTTAAGTTGCTGTTAGTTTCAGTTTCTTACTGTTGTTAAGGTGGAATGCTGGTATTTTTATTTGGGGGGCAAACTGGGATTTAGTTTCATCAAAACCTAGAGTATATATTTACAAGTGGCTTAGATGTAAATATTCAAATAGATTCTCAGAGATCTAAAATGGCTCTAGATTTCTCTTAAAAATATGTTTCTGTATAATTTTTAAAAAAATATTGTTGAATGTTTTACATATGTCCCCCCTTTCCTCCATTGAGCTCCTTCAGCTCCCACTAGTTTATAACTTTTAAAAAAATAAACAAGTCAGCCCTATTCAGCACAATTTAATTTTTATTGAGTTTTTAAAATATTTTTCCGGTATTAAGAACTGTGGTTTAAACAATTTCTTTTTATGAAGTTTCATGTTAGGGTCTTACAGTGTGAATGATGGTGCACAACTCTACATGATTGACCCATCGGGTGTTTCATACGTGAGTAATTTTGAATCATATGGAATTCTTAGTTTAATGGTATATTATTAGCATTAAAATCATATATTTAGATTACATAAAGTTTATTTAAAATTCATTCAAGGAATGTAACATTTTTAGCATTAATAATCTATGGATATGAGGCAGAGGAAAGACTTGTAGTTTTTCAGTATGCTGCTATAAAAACTGCACTGCGAACATAAAGTTTTAAATATGTGGTATTTTCTTTATTACTATAAGAAGTAGCAGTGCTTTAAGACTGTATATATTTTCCCTTTTAAAAAAAGGACTTTAAATGGGATTTCTTTGACCTTGCACCATCTTGAGATTTTTTTTAACTTAAAAAAATATTTTATATTTTGTCATTACATGCAAGTATAAATGGACATTCTTTTTTTTTTTAATTTATATTTTATTGGCTTTTTACAGAGAGGAAGAGAGAGGGATAGAGAGTCAGAAACATCAATGAGAGAGAAACATCGATCAGCTGTCTCTTGCACACTCCCTACTGGGGATGTGCCTGCAACCAAGGTACATGCCCTTGACCGGAATCGAACCCGGGACCTTTCAGTCCGCAGGCCTATGCTCTATCCACTGAGCCAACCCGTTTTGGCTAAATGGACATTTTTTAATTTAAAAAAAAAAGTATAATAGGAAAAATAAAGAATTATGGTTTAGAGTATAAAACTCAGGAAATTCAGAAGTAACTTTTCATTGTTATAGTGCTAAAAAAATTTCATTCCTACTCTCAAAAATGTCTCTAGTACATGAAGTATACATAATATTTGCTTTTCTTAAAAATAAGCCATATTCAAACTTTTATAATTAAGTTTGGTGTTTTAAATATTTTGAGCCCCTTGGTGTTCATTAGAATGTGTTTGACTGTATTTCTGCAGACTTTAATTTTGAGTCATTTAACATTCTTTCATTAACCTTTAAATATAAACAGTATTCATCAATGATTTATAATAGTATATTAATTGAATATATGCATATATATATTTTGGTGTGTTGTTTTTAAATAGGGTTATTGGGGCTGTGCTATTGGCAAGGCCAAGCAAGCTGCAAAGACAGAAATAGAAAAGCTTCAGGTAGGTAATACATAATGCTTGAATTTTTGCTGTAACATTATTCTTAGGTAATGAAGTTTTGTCACCACAAACTAAACCTTTTCAACCTAGTACTCGTATATAGTATGGTTTGTTGTTTTGAGCAGAACTTATTGAAGCTGCTAAGTAGCTGAATAGGAAAGCTGGTAACATATTACTTGTGGAATTGTGTTATGGATCCCTTTATGATTTTGATATCTGCTTATTGTAAACCCTTAATCCAGAAAAATACAAAGTATCATGTAATTTCACAAAACTCTTTAAGGCCATTCATGGGAACCCTATGAGCCTTCTTAGGTTGAGAACTTGGGTGATTTTTTCTGTCATTTCTTTCTTCTCTGGAACACTTTTGTCTGTGGATGTCTTACATTGAGTGTGCCTGCTCCAGTGCTTTTCTTTCCTTTGTTCCTACCTACATTAAAGTATGGAACTCTGTCCTGTTCCAACTACCCACTTTTTCTACCCCCAAGAAGCGGAAATTCATCTTTAGTGTAAAGTTTTCTTAAAAGTTTGTTGGTTTTCCTTTTAGCCAATTTGATCAACTTAATATTGAAACAATATTACTAACTCTTTGTTGCTTGTCAGAAAGATCCTGAAAAGTCTGGCATATGATTTAACAGTATTTTGGTAAATTGAGAAAAAATTTCACATACATTTAATATTAATGCAGAACTTGGTTTACTCATTCAACATATTTAGGGCCAGGCTCTAGAACATCTTTTTAGTGCTTGAAATTTAATGCCACGTTCTAGACATACATATAAAACCTAATTCATGATTGATTTTTTTGTTGTTGTTGTTAATCATCAACCAAGGATATTTTCCATTGATTTTTGGGGAGAGCGGGAAAGACAGAAAGAAACATTGATGTGAGAGAAACACATCGATTGGGTTGCCTCTTGCAGGAGCCCTGACCAGGGAGGAGCCAGCAACCAAGGTATGTCCCAGAATTGAATCCTGGATCCTTTGGTCCTCAGGCCGATGCTCTATCCACTGAGCCAAACTGGCTAGGGTCATGTCTGTTGTTTTAATAAAACTGACAAAAGGACCTTAGGCATCACTTAGCCCATGCACAATCCTGGGTTAATACACTGGCTAGAATCATGGAATTACATTGGTTATGAATAGTTTCTAGACCTTATGACTGAGACCAATGTTCTTTTCCATCACACACTTCCTGATGTAGCACTAAGATCCTGTCTTCTACTCATTTCTCTTTTGCTTTCATCTTTCCTTATTATTGTGTAGAAATTTGAAGAGAGTATGTAGTATAGTCAAGTATCTTTTTGTCTTTCTGAGGTTAAACCCTTGCAAGGAATTGAGAAAGATCACTTCACTTCAGGAACATGTATACCTAAATGCAGAAAGATGCTCTAAATCAGGTCAACAAACTATGGTTCTTACTTTTCAAAGTTTTATGGGAACATAGCCACATTCAGTCCATGATTACTTTCACACTACAACAATAGAGTTTGATAGTTGGATTCGAGACCAAAGTCCATAAAGTCTAAAATACTTTCTGTTGGGTCCTTTACAGAAGTTGGACAACCATCACTGTACGTCATTGCTTTGCCCTTTTTCTTCTGTTGTTCACCAAAATTATTTTTTTTTAATGAAATTAAAACTTCACAAATATATGTAAAAATATGTCATTTAAAATTTGGCTTTTGCCCTAGCCAGTTTGGCTCCGTGGATAGAGCATTGGCCTGCTGACTGAACAGTCCCAGGCTCCATCCCAGTGGGGGGGGTACAGGAGATAGCCAATCAATATTCTCTCTCATCATTGATGTTTATCTCTCTTCCTCTCCCTTCCTATCTGAAATCAATAACAATATATTTTTAAAAAATAAAATGTGGCTTTTCACGGGTGTTCAAGTTTGCCTTTATATAATAATTGAGCAAATATAGAATTTAACCTATAAGGAAAAATTATAAAGATCCTTTTATTTCACCCCTAACTTTATATAAAAAAATAAAAACATCAGAAAAGATATGACTAGTACAATAAATATCTGCATTTAGATTGCAGTTAATATTTTCCAACAGTTTGTCCATTTGTATGCTATTTTTCTAAATGGTTTGAGACAAAAATTGCCATCATTATGACATTGAATCCATAACTGCTTCAGCATGCATCTCTTTAGAATAACATTATCACCCTTATCATCTAACATTCAGTACATAATCAAGTTGCCTCATTAATCTCAACTTCATATGTAACTTTTTCAAGCCATAATTAAGGTTCACACACTGAATTTGTTTCCTATCTCTCTTATAATTTAAATCCTTCCCCTGCACCCAATACTAATTTTTTGAAGAACCCATGCCATTGCTTTTATAGTTGTACTGGAGGCCCGATGCACAAAATTTGTGCAAGGGGCTTGGCCCTCACACGAGGCTTCATCTGGAAAGTCGTTCAGCTGTCCAATCGAGTTAGCATATTACGTTTTTATTATACATTGATTGTTGTTGTTCCTGCTTCCTCAGATGGCTGTGCAGGCACAGAGCATGTTTAAAATCTAAATAAATGCCAAAAGTAAAATACTAATGAATCTAGTTTAGAGATAAAGTAATTGAATTACCTTAAATCTGCAGTTTTATGAACACCTTTTATCTTTTACCATTTCCATCCTGTCCAGCCCAACATATCCAGAATATGAACACCAATTTGTTCAAACGTGTTTTTGATCTTATCTTGTGCATTTCATTTATCTTTTGCTAAATCAAACCTAATCCAGCTATGTTCTAGGAACCCTCAACTATGTTCTAAAACACTCAAAAAATGCATTTTTGCATTTTTGTCATGTAAGGGACAACTTTTCTTAATCATTTCTGTGGGTCTTGTGTACAGTTATTTAAACGTCAAGGTCTGTTTGTGAATAATAGACTCAGAAAGGGTGTGGATTTTTAAAACATAACCACTATCTTGACTTAATTTTAAAAAAATATATTTTATTGATTTTTCACAGAGAGGATAGAGTTAGAAACATTGATCAGCTGCCTCCTGCACACCCCCCACCGGGGAGCCCGCAACCAAGGCACATGCCCTTGACCGGAATGGAACCTGGGACCTTTCAGTCTGCAGGCCGACTCTATCCACTGAACCAAACTTGTTCCAGCTTGACTTATTTTTTTATTATTTTTAAAATATATCTTTATTGATTTCAGAGAGGTACAGAGACAGAAATATCAGTAATAACAGAGAATCATTGATCAGCTGCCTTCTGCCCGCCCCCTACTGGGGATCGAGCTTGCAACCGGGGCATGTGCCCTTCACTAGAATCGAACTTGGGACCCTTCAGTCCACAGGTTGATCGATGCTCTAACCATGGAACCAAACCAGTTAGGGCAAAGGGGTGTGGATTTTTATAAATTTTAATACTTATAACAAAATTAGTGGTCCCCAGATTAGGGTCATTAAGAATATCAGTTTTGGCATAATTTAAAAACATTAAACTGAATCAAGAAATTTAGGCTCTTATCTTTTAGGGATGTTATTTTTCTTTGTTTTATATCTGAGAATATATCACAAAGGCATGGGTTATGAAAAGAATCTTAAAATAGTTACACAAGTGGAAGTGTTCTTTTAACTCATAACTTAATGAATATATATTTTATTTTTTGTAGATGAAAGAAATGACTTGCCGTGATGTTGTTAAAGAAGTTGCAAAAATGTAAGTTCACGTTTCCTTACCATTAACAAAAATCTTTCACTTTATCACAACCATTAATTCAAAAAGGCTGTTTTGTTTGAAGATAACAGTGCATAATTTTTTTTGTGAATTTAATATTTGAAGAATTAAGGAAGACAATATTCATATTTTAAGTGATAATTAATGGAATGGAGAAAAACTATCTTTTGACAAAGTCCTGTTCAGGTGACAGAATTCCAGGGTAGGAGGATATAGTAGACCTCCGGGGATTTTCATTTCATAGTTCCCAACTTCCCAAATGTCAAAATTCCCAAAAATATTAATCTTAATTTACAAACTTTATTTTCATTTTACAGCTAATTGTTTCTATATGTGATTCATGAAATTGGCTCATTTAAAAAATATTATTTTATTGATTTTTTTTACATAGAGGAAGGGAGAGAGTTAGAAATATTGACCAGCTGCCTCTTGCACACCTCCTATTGGGGATGTGGCCACAACCAAGGTACATGCCCTTAACTGGAATCGAACCTGGGACCTTTCAGTCGGCAGGCCAAGGCTCTATCCACTGAGCCAAACCAGCTAGGGCAAAGTTGGCTCATTTCTTTGAGTAAGATAATGTTATAAAAGTTCTTTTAAGATTAGGAGAACTATATTTCAGACATTTAAAAGCAATTGAAGAAAGCTTGAAATGATTCACATTATAGGTACAGAGTAGGTTGTTAAGTAATAGTTAAGAGTAAGCAATAACAAAGCCAGTAAACCTGAGTGACAGTGCTTCATAATTTCATAATTTTCCTAGGTCAGAGTGTGGAACCTCTGGTCCTAGGACCGTATTAGACCTGCAAAATCATTTGGTCTGGTCCTGCCAAGGCAGCCGCAGGCGGGACTCAAAATTCAATAAATCTAGGAGCTTTTTCATGGCAACATAAATTTATAATAAATGAATTGTATTAAGTGAATGATGGTATAAATATCCAAATGGCCCTTGGCAGAAAAAAGGTTCCTCATCCCTGTTCTAGATCAGGGAATACAAGCATAAGAATATTTCATTTATTTATTTTTTAAAATGTATTTTATTGATTTTTTACAGAGAGGGAGAGAGATAGAGAGCTAGAAACGTTGATGATGAGAGAGAAACATTTACCAGCTGCCTCTTGCCCACCCCCTACCGGGGATGTGCCCGCAGCCAATGTACATGCCTTTAACTGGAATCGAACCTGAGACCTTTCAGTCTGCAGACCGACGCTCTACCACTGAGCCAAACCGGCTTCGGCAAGCATATTTCAAAAAGTCCAATAAAATGTTTGAAGTCAAGTTTTCATATTTTAAAGTCATAAACAATACTCCAGAGAATTCACAGCATCTCTATAACTATTCCACATGAACATGGTCTAGTCAGTCAGCTCTTTGTATAAATGTCTTAGGTTTTACATTTAATAATATATGCAAGGGGAAAAGTCCTAGAGAGCTCTTTTATTATTTTTTTGTTGTTAATCCTCACCATAAGATATTTTTCCATTGATTTTGAATGGTAGGGAAAGGGAGAAACAGATAGAAACATCAATATTGAGAGAGAAACATCGATTAGTTGCCTCCTACTCACCCTGACCAGGGCCAGGGCACCTGACACCAAGGTACTTGACCGGAATTGAACCCAGGACCCTTCAGTCTGCAGGCCAACACTCTATCCACTGAACCAAACCAGCTAGGGGTAGAGCACACTTTATTAATAGAAGAGTACTTAATAGTACCCTTAATCTCTCAAACTGAGTTCTAGTAAATGAAATATTAAAATGGCAAAAGTATTTAAAAGTACTAATTCTCCCTCACTCATTCGCTTATTTTTTTTTTTAAGAAGCAGAACCCACTTTTAGAAATTCTCATTATAATTACATTATAACAGGCTTTTCAGAAATAAATTTTTAAGAGGAAAACATCAATGATGAGAATCATTATCAACTGCCTCCGACATGCCCCACACTGGGGATCGAACTGTGACTTCTCGGTTTACAGGTTGACGCTCAACTACTGAGCCATGCAAGGTGGGCTGCATTATAAGATTAACATGTCAAACTCAATTTCCTCCATTGAGAAGTGCTTCTGGAAATCAGCCCTTTTATTTATGTTTAGTGTAACAGCAGACACTAATTAATTCCATGCAGAAAAGACATCCCTTTCGCAGCACTACATATCTTTTATTAGTTTCAGAAAACTTAAGATGTTTCCAAGTGTGTAAGGTTATAGGAAGTATAAAATAGGAAAGCTTTGCTCTGATGCTTAATTTTTGATATTTTTACTTTAATGTTATGTGACAGTGCTTCCTTGTTTGCTGCAATTTGGCATGTACAGTAATTCCTTGGGTTACATGGAAGATCCATTCCTGTGGTGCGACATAACGATTTTTGCCATAAGTCAGAACCCACCTACACATCATTCACATGGAGCACACACACAGCAGTAATGAAGTGAAAGTAAAAAAAAAAATTTAAAAGATAACAATTCCTGTCCTTTACTTGCAGTAAATACAGTAAATAAAAAAAGATAAAACACATATGTACATATGTCAAAATGACAGAACTTTTTTTTTTATAAATAAATGGGAGATGGCAATATAACCAACAGTCTGACTGTAACCCAAGGACTGCCTGTATTATAGTTTGAAGGCCAGGAGGGGAAAATGGACAAGGGTTTACAGTGATTTCAGCCAAGAAGTTGCAAAGAGAAGAGACCATTAATAATTGCAAACTGAGAAATTTGTTTATTTTAAAAATAATCAGCTAAGGAAGAAAATAAATTATCTTGAAAAGGTACAGGTAATGATGATTTTTCCCATTTGTATTCCTTATGAGGTATCTTTTTAGTTATGTCTCTAAATGAAACACTATATCAAGATAGATTTTGAAGGTATACTGAATCATTTGTAGTGTTTATTAATCCTGTGTAGTTGTATTTTCTAGTGTTCATAAATAGAAATTACATATAATTTTCTATTTTCTGTTTTAGAATTTACATAGTACATGATGAAGTTAAAGATAAAGCTTTTGAACTGGAGCTCAGCTGGGTTGGTGAAAGTAAGTTATTTTTATGCATTCTCTCAAGTTGTCTGTACCAAACCTATGTACCACTGGTTAACTTTTTAAAAATGCATTGGCAAATTATTACAATATGGATACAGTCATATAATCACTGCTCTGGTCAAAAAACAGACTAGCCTTCCTTCCCCCAACCCCTCCTTGGGTAGCTCAGTTGGTTAGAACATTGCCCTTGATGGACCAAAGTTGTTGCAAGTTCAATCCCTTGTCAGGGCACATACAAACAGCAACCAATGAATACTTAAGCCAGTGGAACAAAAATCGATGTTTTTCCCTCGAAATAAATTAAAATGATAAATTTTAAAAAGTATGAAAAAACTAGACTCGTTCCCAGATCATCTCTTAGGCCTTCTTTCTTTCTTGAAGTCAACCTTCTCCCCAAAAGTAATCACTATTCTAAATTTTAACACCATAGTCTTGTCGAAGTTTTTATATAAATGGGATACAATATATATTCTCTTGTCCCTGATTTCTTCAACATTATATTTATGTAAGTCATTTGGGTTGCTGTGTATTTTAAATAATATTTGTTCATTTGACTTGCTGTATAGTGTTCTGTTGTTTAAATATACCACAATTTATGCAACTCTGTTGCTGGACAGTTCGGGGTTCTTTCCAATTTTGTTTTGTTTCCGTACTATAATGAATATTGCAGCTGTGAATATCATGCACAATTGTTTACATAAGAGAACTACTGGTTCATGAAATGTGAGTATGTTTTATTGCAATAAGTATTGCCAAAATGCGTTCAGGACAAGGAAAGTCTGAACAACTTTACCAAGTAGTCTCTGAAGGGAAAGTTCTGCTTAATAATTAACTAAAGTTGTGAATTATTTAGTTTAACTTTTGAAACATCCATTTCACGTTTTAAAAAATATCACTGAGAAACAAGTTTTTCTCTGTAGCTTGGTAACCATGAAGCTTCAAAGGCCAGTTTAAAAAATTAATCATGCTGTTCATGAATGAATACTCAAGATATATCATAGTATAATTCATTGTTTCCATAAAGGTAAATTTGGGCAGATTTAATTTCCCATGGAGAAAACACATAAAAATGAGTTCAAAGCATCTGGTTTTATTCAAAGTACAACTTTACAACATTAACCTTAAATGGACCCTTATCTGTGGATTGGGTAATTACATAGTCTTGCAAATAACAATATAGTCCTTGTTTTTATTTAATTATTTTATTTATTTATTTACTTACTTTAGTCCTTGTTTTAATTCATTTAAATATATGGTTTAATTTCTAGTAACTAAAGGAAGACATGAAATTGTTCCAAAAGATATAAGGGAAGAGGCAGAGAAATATGCTAAGGTAAGTCACTGCATGAAAACTCCATGGAAATAAGGATATTTAATTCATATTAAATAACGAAAGTTGAGTTGAACTAAGGATGGAAATGGGGATAAAGTTACCCTGGTTTTCACCCCCCCCCCCCCCCCATTTTATCCTTTGTGAAAATGGCAGTGATTTTCAGGCGATTAAATACTTTCATATTGTGTGTATTCTATCAAAAATAAGTCAATTTATCTTAGACTTAGATATATATATATATATATATATATATATATATAATTATCCCCCCCCTTTTTAAGTTGGGTGTCTTATTCTAAACCAACAAGTGGCTAATTAGATTCAGGTTGTTGTGATTGTAATATTAGAAATTTATTTTAAACACTTTTTCTCTTAACAGGAATCTTTGAAGGAAGAAGATGAATCAGATGATGATAATATGTAACGTTTACTTCAGCATTTATCTTAAATTTCTAATACAGTCCCAATGTAACTATTTAGCTCCTTCAATTATTAAATACCACTGACCATTTTTCATTAAATTTTTGTCTTGTAATCATTGAAGTTTGGTTTAATATCGGCTTGACAAAATTGGTGAGGGTAATTAAGCATATATTTACTTAATATTAAATTGTAGATTTATGCCTATTTAAAAATTTCTTAAGTTAAAATACTGCAAATAAATGTTTTGGAATCATATTTTAAAAGTACCTACCATTGCTTCTAGGCTGTTTGGCTAAGATCAAGTATAAAAGTACCTATCAAGGTAGTAGGCAAATTAATTGATGCCATTGCCCAGTTTTGTATTTAGTGAAATGGCTGTTAGTCATCAGCCACTTTTAACCTTTAGGTGTACACATACAACAGGAGAGTCAAGAATGTATTGGAGTGGATTTAAGTACCCACAAATTGCTATTCTGTCACATAAGAAATTTCTCAACCTATAAAGTTAATATAAAATGAATGAGAATATTTGTGAAATGCTTTGTAAGCAGAATCGTTTGAGGAATAGTCAGAATTGTGCCCTATAAGAATAATTGTCATAACCTGAACAGTAGCATTCACAGAGGAAGAAACAATGTGAACTCACTCAGGCCAAGTATCCAGGTTACACACCTTTTATTGGGCTCATGTCAGTATCACTCCATTCAACTGTCATGCTAGGTAGGAATCTAGTCACTGAGTTTAGCAGCAGGATATTGCTGGACTTTGAACATCTGTGTAGTTCAAATAGCAAATCATTATACTTGAATAGCTAACCACTATACAAACAAGCCAAAACTAATGTCACTGCCATCACTTCTTTTATATAAAAGTATTTGTTAATTTTACAACTCATACATTTATTTCAGAATTGACATCACTGTTGGCCTTGGCCAAACATCTAAACAATATTAAATTGAATCTAGTGACAGAGACATAATAATCTGACTATTCCCAAGCTAATCTATGGTCATTCTTTATTTTTCCAAACTTCCAAAGTATAGGACATGGACCTCCTATTACTGTTCTATGAGTACATGTGTTCTTATTCTTATCAGTATAGCTAAAAACCCTTTTAAAAAAAGTAATTCTAAAGAAACCTATATTTGAGCAGCTGAGCCAACGAAAAATAGTATGGATGCCATAACAACAAACCTAAAAATATTTAAGCAGATACATCCAGCACTTTAGCTATTTATGGAAGGAAAACAATTGAGTTTCATACATATATTTATATAGGCTCAATAATCTAGATTCAATTGTAGGGTCACTATGTATCTGCACCATTGAAATAGATTAGCCTCTGAGAAAAAAAAGCTTATACATTTTACTTTGTACAAGACTACAAATTTATTTTCAGAAAAGAGTTAAGTACCTTGATTACTGTAAACCTTGATGCTGGCACCTGAAAAAAGAAAAGTGAAAAATGTTTTAAAGAATCAAGTTTTGGTTTAGAGATTTCAAATAATAAAATGTAATTAAACTATAAAAGCACTTATCTGGTAATCCATTTGCTTTTATGTTTTATCATTCATAAAGGGACCTAAAAAATAAATGAGAGCGATCACATTGTAGGTCATCAATACACTTAACTGACTGAAACAAAATACTCTTCAAATTAAGACTTGAAGAGCAAATTAAGATGACAAATTACATTTCCTTTCTCATTTTGTAAAATATCTACTGATCTATATTGAATTCACCATGTATGGCCTATTTCTTAAGTGGTCTTTCCTAAGGAATCAGACCACCAGCCAAAGAAAGCCTTCTGAAATGATTTCCATTCCCACTAAATAATTGTCAAATTACTTAAAAAGTAAAGAAAAAGGAACTCCAAAACATGAAGTAAAAGTACTCAATCCTAACGAAGTAAAAGCTTTTCTACCACTGCCATGTTTATGCATCTATTATGGTGTTCACTATCCCTCCCATAGATGGGAGTTGTTCAAGAAAAGAAAACATGTTTTTCCTCTTAACCAGTGAGCACACAGTAGGCATTCAAATGCTAATGGTACACGTTTTTAAAATTCGAAATAATTCATACTAGAGAACTACAGCATAAGGTATACCAATTTTGAGTATATATTGAAAGGAACTCAAAACTAATTAGAATATATGCATTCCCCTGTTCATTGCAGCATTATTTACAAGAGCCAAGATATGGGAGTAACTCAAATGCCCATCAATAGGTGAGATAAAAAAGCTGTAGTACATATATACAATGAAATATTCCTATCTCATCATTGATGTTTCTCTCTCTCCCTCTCTGAAATAATCAAGAATATACTTAAAAGTGTGCCCTGACAAACATGTGCATAGCATAACAGTCAATTAACTAAGCCATATTGGCCAGGGAAGAATAAATTCTTTTATAAAAGCATGATAACATGATTTTTCTAGTTAAAAGAAGTTAGGGCTTCCTTTCTGTCACCATTGTTCAAAGGATAATTGTAACCACAACAATTTCATAATAAAAGTAACATCATAATTAAAGCCAGATTAGTATAAATTTCAAACTGGCTTTGTCTTTTAATGTCACCTTGGGCAAGTTACTTCTTTTCCTCCTCTATAAAATGAGGATTATATACCATTAAAACTGCATAAGCTGGAATACTTGTAAGTTTAAATTTATGAAAGGTATGTTGAAAATTAAAAAAATGGTGAGAGAAAATGAATAAGAAACTGATCAGAAGATTCAGTATTGTCAAGTCTCCCTAAATTGACTTATGGATTCAATGTAAACCAAATCAAATTCATAAGAGGCTCTTTTTGGGGAGTGGGGTTAGGGAGTGGTTAAGAAATCATCAAGCTATTACTAAAATTTATATGGGAAAAAGAATTAGAACAGCCAAAATACTTTTGAAAAATAAAGAGACTGCCACCTGATCAAAGAATGAAGTCTTAAAATAGATTTAACAGCCCAAACTGGTTTGGCTCAGTGGATACAGTGTTGGCCTGCGGACTGGAAGGTCCCAGGTTCGATTCCATCAAAGGCATGTACCTTGGTTGCAGGCACATCCCCAGTAGGGGGTGTGCAAGGAGGCAGCTGATCAATGTTTCTCTCTCATCATCGATGTTTCTAACTTTCTCTCTCCCTCTCTGTAAAAAATCAATATATATATTTTTTAAATAGACTTACAAATATGGTCAATTGATTGACAATGGTGAGAAAAAAATGCAAATCAATGGAAGATTAGAGCTTTTTCACAGATGACACTGGAACAATTGGATAGATATCCTAATGCAAAAACAGAAACCAATACCAAAAGCCAAACTATACCTTGGTACTATATACAGAAATGAATTCAAAGGATAAGCCAAAATGTAGCCCAAATTCTAAAGCTTCCTAGAAGAACACATGATTTGGTTTAAAAAGAGTTCTCACTGTATCAAAACTGAAAAACTGAATTTCATCCAAATTAAAAGCTTCTACTCTCCTAACAACACTGAAAATGAAAAGATAAAAAAAGTTCTAGGGGAAAACATCTGCAAATCACTTAACTTTACAAAGAACAAGTGTTTAAAATGTACAAAGAGTTCTCAAAATTCAACAATAAGAACCTAATTTTTAAATGGATAAAAGATTGAGACAATTCACATTACAAATAAAACTGACGTTTCTTCTTTGACCATCCAAATGTGTATCCTTCCAGTCCATAAATAACTCTTTAAAAAAGTAAACACTTGTAATGTGGTTAATGTAAAACATTGAAGAGCAAGGGTCCTTACATATCTTGAGTTTATGTTTGAAGTGTATGATTTGGACTTTTCAAAATTTCATATGTCAAGTATGCTAAAAGTGTTAACATCATATATTTTTACATTTAAAAATGTCAAGTTTCGTAACAAAAAAAGATAATTTGCGGGAAGTTTTAATTCATTATATTGAAGAAAATCGTATACTTCAGAAAGCTTATGGTGAACATGCTCCCTCTCAAGAAACTTGTGAATGCTGGTTTAAACTTTAAAAGTGATGATTTCTATAATATGTGAAAAGCAAAGACTGTCCAGGTCAAACGAAAAAGTTTGAAGATCAACAATTAACGAGCATTATTGGATAAAGATTCGTGTCAAACTAAAAAACAACTTGCAGAAAGATTAAATGTTGGTTGGCAAACAATTTCCGATTGTTTATAAGCAATGGGAAATATTATTTTATTTATTTATTTTTAAAATATATTTTAATGATTTTTTACACAGAGGAAGGGAGAGCAATAGAGAGCTATTAGAAATGTCAATGAGAGAGAAACATTGACCAGCTGCCTCTTGCACACCCCCTATCGGGGATGTGCCCGCAGCCAATGTACATGCCCTTGACCGGAATCGAACCGGGGACCTTTCAGTCCGCAGACTGATGCTCTACCACTGAGCCAAACCAGCTTCGGCAATAAGCAATGGGAAAGATTTTAAAGGAAGGAAAATGAGTGCCACATCAATTGAATGAAAGACAAATGGAAAACCGAAAAGTCATCAGTAAAATGTTGCTTCAACAGCATGAAACAGTCTTTTTTTTGTATCAAATTGTGACTGGCAATGAAAAATGGATTTATTTTGAGGATCCTAAATGCTTGATCCAGGTCCACCATCAACATCCACTGCAAGGCCAAATAACTTCAAAAGAAGACAATGATCTGCGTTTGGTGGGATTAGGAAGGTGTGGTGTATTATGAGCTTTTAAAACTATGTGAAACCATTAATACTGATTACTACCAACAACAAATAACCAATTTGAACCATGCTTTGATTATGAAACGACCAGAATGTGCCAGAAGACACGGCAAAGTAAATTTGCTTCATGATGATGCACCATCACACACTTTAAAACCAGATGATGACACGTTAAAAGATCTTGCCTGGGAAGTATTAACCCACCCGCTGTATTCACCAGACCTTGCTCCTTCAGATTACTACTTGTTCCCATCGATGGCACACACACATTCTGAGAAGCACTTGAAAACATAT